ATGTTTGCTTCATTTTAAGCATCTTAATATTCTTTTCGCCTTTTTTCATAAAATTTATTCTTAATATTGAATAATATTCCTTTGAGTTTAATATGTAGGACCTTACCCTTTTTTTCCCCTTTTAAATTATTTTTTTTTATTACAAATTATCTTCTTAAAGGAAAATTATTATTACAAATTATAAATAAAAACTTATATACATGTTTATAAATATACCACTATACTTTTAATATTTACACATTTCCTCCAACCTCCCGTATCCTCATTTTTGGAACAAGCCGTTTCCATGTTTTTTCGTATCGCCGTTTCTGTGTCCGTTCTGCATAATTCGGTCATTTAAAATGTACGTATTCAACGTTTCAACTGCAGTATAAAGACCGAGTTAACTCGTGTTGACTCAGTTGCACCAGGAATCTGATTCGTTTGGACCATCTTATTTTTTGGGGGGTTATTTTAGATTCTCTTCCCTCTTTTTTCATCTTATTGAAAATTTTATATTTATATTTATATTTATATTTATATTATATTTATTTTATATTTATTTATACATATATGATATTTGCTCTATTAAGATTTGAGAGGCAAAAATACCCATTAAGAGGTGATTTTAATACACATTACTATATGTGAGCCCAACGCAAAAAGCAAAATGAACTAATAATTATTGGGCTTTTGGTTTTGCTATTGGGCTTTTTTGTATTTGACTAAGCCCAAGAAAAGCTTCTTCCGTTGACCATTGTTGACTAGTAGTCAATTCTCATAGACGTTGACCGTTAGTATGAACTTTTTTCTTAGAAAAAACCAAGAAGTATTAATTAAACTAAAAAAATGCAAATTTCATTGTTATTATATTATTATTATTGTTATTTATTATTTAACTTGTTAGACTGACAAGGTAATTAGATGCAGTCACAATTTATAGGATAAATTACATTTCCCTTATTTATTTTGGCTCGATATCACTTTACCTTTTTTTTTTTTTTTTTTATTGCATTGATTTACTTTCATGTATTTGAAAATTTGTCTCAATTTATCTCCCTGCATCGATTCGACCAAACGTCATTAATGTCAATTGTCTGACAGTTAGGGCCACATTGAGACAATTTCTCAAGTGTATGAGGCAAATCGATGCAGTCAAAACTAGAAGGGATTAAAGTAGGGCTGGAAAAAAAATACCGATTACCATATAATATACCATGGTATACCAACCAAGGATTACCGAAAAATTACCGAAAGCACGGTTACCATTGTCTACGACACGGTATTAGTACCGTACCATTACAATATGGTACGGTATTGGTATTGTATTTCTAATACCACGGTAATACCGTACCGTACCGCAATTTACATTTTTATTCGATTAATATATTTTTTTCGATATTATTTTTTGTAATTCTATTTTGTTTATTATAAGCATATAAATGGCAACAATTATTTTTTCCTTAAGTTACTGGTAGTGTATTTGTCTTTTTTTTTTCTACAAAGTTGAATTTTGTAATTGAACATATATATTCTACTAAATTGTCTTTTATGTTTCTTATAGCCACTAATTTTATTATATATGATGTATGAATATTTTATTCTTTTACCTACATGTATGCATAGCATTGGTAAAGTATTTATTGTTTGTAATAATTATTAAGTTAGTTCCTAACAAATACGTAGTTGTTCTATTAAACAACATTTACATTATTATGGTATATGTTCACCGGACCTTCTTAGAAAATAAGATATAACTCATACAAGAGTAACTAGAACTATTTTCAATTGGGATATATATATATATATATATATATATATATATATATATATATATATATATATATATATATATATATATATATATATAATATTTAATTCATTTGTTCTTTAATCGTTGATGCATCACCAAGTACGGTAGAGTACCACGTACCGATTGTACCGTACCGAAAATAACGGTATACCGAACTTTTTGGTACGGTAACGGTATGAAATTTTTCAATACCGCAATGTACGGTAGGTACACGGTATTGAGCTAAATGTTTGGCAACCGTACCGAATCCACCCCTAGATTAAAGTGATACTGAACCAAAGTACACAGGATTGTGGAATTTGCCCTAATTTATATATATGATCAAAGTAGAAGTTAGGATAAATAATCATCTCAAATAACGTTCCCAAAACAACGTTTTTAGAGTAAAAAATAGACTGCACATTTCTAGATTAAAACAAAATTAGCTGTAAATCAATTCAACATACCCTAATCCAACAGATAATTAAATTGTCATGGATTTTATCACAGTTCACATCATACTCCAATAGAAAAAAATCAACACACCTTCATTCACAAGATCAAAATTCCTCATGCTTGAGTAATTACAATCACCTATCAACTATGAATCTTCTTCCACGTACATCTTTATGGTGTCAACTTCAACCGAATTTTCTAGATTCTGTGGAACATTTTCTAGTTTGTTCTTGTCTTGTGCAAATATGCAATTTATGATATCCAACAATCTGAAATTTACAAGACAAGAGACACATCTTATTTCAAAATATGGAGTTCGAATGGAGTAAAACGAGCACAAACTGAAGAATATTCCACTAAACTTGACACCAAAAGGTCGAATGTGTAAGAATATTCATAGTTGATTGGATGATTATAATTACCAAAACATCAAGGATTGTTTCGTAATTTGACGATAATTTACCCTATTAATTAATTATTAAAACAAAAAAGGAAAAATACTTTCCCAATCTTTTCGTCACACAGACAAAAAAAGGAATTCTTTGAAAAAGAAAAGAAAAAAAAACGCTAAATTCATTTCCCTAAGAAAAACAAAAACCCTGTAACTTTCATTTTCCCCTTTCTCCGGCCGTTTTGTCTTTCATCTCCGATCTCTTCCCGTTTCTCTCTCTAGAAAATGGTGCTCTGAAAGTTACGGCTAGGTTACATTTTGAAGTAGACGCAGGGAAGAGTGTCAGAATTACACAAAAACCTCTACAAATTAATCGGAGTTTTTTTTTTCAAAAAAATTCGGCATGTTTTGAATCAGGGTTTCTGTTTGATCTCCATTGTTTCTCTCTCTAGTGTGGCGGGTAAAACTTCGATTATTACGAGAAACGGAGAAGAAGAAGAAGAGAGGTTTCGACTGAAGTGATGAACTCCACTACTCTGTCATCGAGCGCCGCCGGAATTGGATCGGCCGATTCGACCCCGCCCAGAAGGAATTCCAAGCGTCCAAAGTGTAATTCTCTTCATCTATGATATATATAATTCTGCTTTGAATTTTGTTGCTGCGATTAAGAGGTTTCTTAATTGGAATTTTATGAATAGGGTTTAGCTGTTTGTTAGAGGCTTTAATCTTCTGAGAGCAGCTTAATTAAAATGATGGAAGTTGTTTAATGCTAATTTCTGGATTAGCCGCTGCTGTATAGCAAATTTTCCTAGGGTTTTTGGTAAATTTTGATGAAGAGTGGTTGCTGCTGTTTTTTTTTTCTGTGGGTGTTCATATGGAATTTTAAATGAGGTAAATGACTTGCATTAGTGTCTCGATTTTTCGATTTTGTAAGTAAGAAGATCACATAAATCAGAGGCCTATCTGAAATTTGATTTTTGTTATAACTTAATCCTTTCAATCGAATTCTGTATTTGGAGTTGCATGACTGTAATTTTGACTGATAATTAAAGCTATATATATATAAATTCAACAGCATGCGTTAGTTCATGAATTATGTAGCACCAACTATCAATTTTGTGCCGCTTTTGTGGTGAATTTGATTTATAGTAGAAAATGAAGTATTAAGCATAGAGGATTATGGAATCTAGATTTATCGTAGTTGAGGTAATAAATTTTATTTATTAAAGAAGGGAAATGAAGTTATGTAATATACTGGCTAAAGTCGTTTAACTCTACTTTCGTTATCGAATAATATATTCCAATATTTTTTCAAATCTCCAATCAGTTAATTCTTAAAGAGAGTGTGATTTTGATGTGCGCTGCAAGATTATATGTGATTTTTCAAATCCCCAATCAGTTAGTTCCGTAATGTTATATTATAACGCTGTTATATGAAATATTGATCAGAGTTTGTTATTAAATTGCGGTCTTCAGATTCAAGATTTTCGCAACAAGAACTTCCGGCATGTAAACCTATTCTCACTCCTAAATGGGTTAGTATTAAACAATGCATATATAAATTTAATATCTCCCGCATTTAGATTTTTCATTTGATTGATGGCATTCTCTAACCCTCTCACGCACCTGCGGTACAGGTGATTGCAGCTTTTTTACTCATCGGTGCTGTCTTCATTCCTATTGGAGTTTTCTCTCTCCTTGCTTCTCGAGATGTATGCTTTACTTTGGCTTGATTTTTTATTCTCACTGCCTTTAATTTTTCAAAGTGACCGGAAATTTCTTATGTAATTATCAGGTTGTTCAAATCGTTAATCAATATGAGACTGATTGCATTCCGGAAGGTTCTAGAACCGACAAGGTCGGATTTATTCGTGGCCCTCAAGACAAAACCTGCCATAGAACTCTTAGTGTGAGATTTAATTCGGTCTTTTCCTTTTTATTGTACTTTTATGATAAAGTGTAATAAATATTATTGTCTTTCGAATTTGATTAATTAATATCAGATCCGGAGGCATATGAAGCAACCGATTTATGTTTATTACCAGCTCGACAATTTCTACCAGAATCATCGCAGGTGAAAACACGATAATTACACAGTTTATATGCTTCTTGCATATTTCTTGATTTAGTTAATACTCAATTTATTAATTTATTTAAAAAATTGACACTGAAAATTTATTGAGTATATTAGATATGTGAAGAGTCGAAGCGATCTACAGTTGAGAAGTCCAGAGAATGAAGACGAAACAAAGTCATGTCAGCCTGAGGGCACATTGAATGGCACTAAAGCTCCGATAGTTCCTTGTGGTCTTATAGCATGGAGTCTATTCAATGATACATACGAATTTTCTCGCAATAAGCGGCAGTTGACTGTAAACAAGAGGGGTATCTCGTGGAAAAGTGACAGAGAGCGCAAATTCGGAAAAAATGTTTATCCGAAAAACTTTCAGAACGGTACTCTACAAGGCGGTGCCAGGCTGGATTCATCTAAACCCGTAAGCCTCTACTCGTAATTTATTCAAATGGATTTTGTGGCATCGGATATACGGAAATAATCGAGTGTGGATTTTTATTCTTCTTTCTTTTTGCAGTTGAGTGAGCAAGAGGATCTTATTGTGTGGATGAGAACTGCTGCACTTCCAACATTCAGAAAATTATACGGAAAAATCGAAGTCGATCTTAACCCTGGTGATGTCATCGACGTGAAATTACAGAACAATTACAATACCTACAGTTTCAACGGCAAGAAGAAACTCGTACTTTCTACCACCAGCTGGCTCGGAGGGAAGAATGATTTCATCGGTATTGCTTATCTCTCGGTCGGTGGATTGTGTTTCTTATTGGCCACAATTTTCACAGTTATATATTTCATTAAGCCAAGGTACTATGCTCTCTCGTCTTTTTTTTTCCTATATACTTAATAATCTAATCAATCGAAAGTATATAACGTTGTACTTATATGTATGTGTATATTTTTGTTTGTGTCAGAGAACTCGGAGATCCGAATTATTTGTCATGGAACGCGAATCCAGGTGATCACTAAGAACTTACTGTGAGTATAGACTTTGATGCTCTTTTAGCTTTATCTTGATATTGTATGAGCCTCAATCTTTAGGGTTTTATAAATGACTTGAATTTGTATTAGCACTTCTATATATATACATATATATAATATATATGGCTGTATTTTAGGTGTAACACAAGTTTGATAATTTCTAGTTACTAATTAACTACCTAACGACGATTTTGTTTTGATTCGATCGCTTCAAATTCAGACTCGGCGGAGTCGGACCTTGATCGGATACGTGATATGATGTTAACATTATTAAGATTTAAGAATAATAAAAACATATTTTTTTTTGCAAACACCTTAACTCAGATTATAAGGAAAAAAAATGCTTATAATCTATTTTTAAAAGCTTTTTGCAATGGTTAACCAGACTCTTACCAATGAAATCAAATGTAGAATTACACTATTAAATCTATATGTATATGTAAATGCGTGAATATCTGCATAATTCATTAATTTGGTTTATTCCATTTCAAACAGCTAGAATTAATCATAAAAATTGTCATTTTGATTAATTTTTTTTTTCTATTTTTTTTTTTATATTCGAATAAAGTGTAACTAGCTAAGAAAGAATAGCCAACTCAACTAGTGAATATATTTTATGACAACATGCTTGAGATTCTTCTATTTTCCACCTACAAAGTTTGTACATCATATATATATATTTCTTTTTTTAAACAAAGCAAAAATAATTCCAGCCAATTACAAAATCAGAAAATTAAAATTTATTAAAACCAGAAGTTGTACATTTTATTAAAAGACAAGATTAAAATGAAACACACAATACAAATTACAAACACACACAATTTAAAATTAAAATTAAAATTAAATTAAGCCCATTTAGCAAGAAAGGACATACATCCAGCACCTAGTAGAAGTGAAGTGTGTGCACCAAGCTGAAGCCTCAAATTGCCTTCCATTCTAGGGTTCATAAAATCAGCTGCTAATAAATCAACCAGAGCCATGTAAATCAATATCCCAGCTGAAGCAGAGTTCATCACCCCTTCGACTATCAATCCCGTCGAGCTATTCTCCTTGTAAACGCTCGATATTCCGATTCCGACCCCGATTCCAATCGGAGTCGTTAGTGAGAAAAACAACGTCATGATCATCGTTGTCACGGACTTGAACCTCGCCTAAGTAATTAACCAGATTATTTAGTCAAAAAGTAAATTACTGTAAGAATATACAACTTTCTATTCGAATATATGATATGTCTTCATACATAAACACATATCTCAGGCCACCACCAGATGAAGTTGTAAGATGAAAACATTATGACAACATGTGTTTATACATTCTTGATTCCCAAAAATGTAAACTATATGTATGTATATGTGTATGTATGTATATATATATATATATGTGTATTATTTACCTGAGAGATGCATCCACCAAGGCCCATACCTTCAAAGAACTGGTGAAAAGAGAGAGCAACCAACAAAGGTTTTATTGTGTAAGAGCTTTGAGAAGCTCCTAGTGAGATCCCGATGATTACCGAGTGCACCACGATTCCCAACTCCAACACCTACAAAACCGTTATTTATTTTCCGATAAAAAATTGGAAAAAGAAGAAAAAAACATTTTTTTTTCTGGAACCAATGACCTCAAGGTTAAACGGATCTCTGAAGATCTTACTTGTGATATTATGCGCTGTCGGACGATATCCGACACGCTGCCGCTCTTCCGTGACGGAAGAGCTGCAGATGCTCCGTGGGCATGGCCATGCGTGGCGTGCGCATGTATGTCAACACGGGCATCATGCCCATCCTCGGGGTGGATACTACCCTCCTCTTCGTCGCCCACATCATTCACTTGCTTCGCCGTGTCGAAATGCATGTTCTTGTAGAAGGCGGTCGCTAATGTGTCCACCATTAGCGTACCGATCGAAGCCACCATGGCGATGAACCCCGCAAACGGGAACCTCCGCCACGGGTCCTCCGCGAGGCACGGCGACGTCAGCGTCCTGAACGCGTCGGGGAGGATGTGGATGAATCCCGTGGCCAGGATCACTCCGGCCGCGAACGCCTTGATCATGAAGAATACGTCGTTCTCCGGCCGGAGCGCCTCGACTCTCCGGCCGAGGAGCGGCAGGCTGACGCCGACCGCGCCGGCCGCCAGGACGGCGACTATCGCCCCCAATTTGTACTTGAGCGCCTCCCTGGCGGCGGCGGCGCCGCCAGTGGCGGTCTGCACCTCCTCGCCATGGCGGCCGGTGGTGCAACGATCGCCGAAAACAAACGAAGGATTGATTAAAACCAAGACGGCGAGTAGGGTTGTGATCTTATAGTGGAGATGGATGGTCATAGTGTTAATGAATTTTCTCCCCTCTCTCTATCTCTCTCCAAAGGGGAGATTTAAGGTGGGGAAAAAAAATGAAAAGGCAGTGGTGTTAATGGTTGCTGCGTCGAATCTTTTAGGTGGGGGCTAATTAAAAATGGCCCCTAAAAATGCAGCAGACAAACATTTATTTAGTACTGTTTGGAAGTATCTTCTAACAGGACCATGTATTGAATTTAGTCTGTTTGAAGGGACTTTTCTGTGTTTGGTTGCACTTAGTCCATTGGATGTGAGAGAAAGTGTATGTATATGTGTATCTATATATATATACTAGCCCCATCTAATGGTCTTGGTGCATCCAAGATAGAATTTTCCACTAACTGAAGTCCGTTTTCGTATAATAATTTGTAAATCAGACAAGAAATATAAAGTGTATGCACTAAGCATAAAGCATTGTCTATATATGTTGTAAATATTTATTTATTTATGTATTTATTTATGTTATTTTTGTACTAAAAATCAAGAAATGTGGTCATGTATGATAATTTGTGGAAAAACATGGTTAGAGAAAAGGGTCCCATATTAATCAATTATATGAGTTATGATCAACTCCAAAGGTAGTAATCATTTTTTTTTTTTGTAATGTGCTTTATTTTCATTGTCCTTTTTGGGTGCAAATGGACACACAATGTTGTCATCCAAATCCATAGCACATTACTCTCTCTCTCTCTCTCTCTCTCTCTCTCTCTCTCTCTCTCTCTCTCTCTCTCTCTCTCTCTCTCTCTCTCTCAATAAGGTACTTTAGTGGGATTATTGTGTAATTAGGCTTTATAACTAATTAATGTCGTTATTATGTCTCTACTTCTCTATCTCTTTTTCTTTTTCATTATATTAATTTTAATGCAAACACTTTTGTGTTTCAATTGTATTTTGCAAACTTTTTTACTTATTATTATTATTATTGTTAACTAGGTTATGGGTTTGCTTTATGGTGTCACGTTATACATAGTTAGCTAGCTACTCTCATTATATGATTGAAAAATATAAACTTTAGCTGCAAAGTAATTATATGGTGACACACTTCACTTAGTTGCCACTAATTCTTCATTAAGCCTTTGGTGTTTATGGAAATTTGATAGCATTTTTTGTCAAATTAGTGAAACTCCGTTTTAAAATTGCATGAGATAGGTTCAACATTTGAAAATAATTAGTGATAACCTCCTTCTTATGTTTTTTATTTTTCGCGAAATTCTGGATTACTTATATTTTTTGTGGGATTCTAGATTAAACTAGACGTAAATTGACTACGTTATTTGTGTAGTTTATTTATTAATCGGCTATAATTTATTAAATACTAAGCGTTTATCTTAAATATGAAAGTAAAAAACGCTTCTAGGGCAACCTAAGAAATCCTAATGATATATTTGTAATTTTTTAATATTAATTATTAATATTTTTCATTCCTTACTTTTCAGATTTTTTATCTAATGACCTTTATAGCAAATCATATTTGCAAATCAACAATATAATTATCATATATTTATTTTTTCCTTCCTTTTTGCAATTCCGTGCATCGCAGGAGAATTACTAGTTAGACCAAAAAGTAATAAATCAACTATAAAAGAAATATAGTTGATTATTAATTTACTATAGTCGATAAAAATTTGATAGAGTGTATCAGACGGATGAGAGAAGTTCTGCCACACGATGTGTTGGTCGAGGACGTAGAGGAGGAAGTTCCCTTGTTTACAAGAGACGGGCTATTTCTATCCCAACAGTAAAGGTGTTTGATGTCCACACAGTGACAGCCTTGGCGACGGTAAAAGCGTGTAATGTCCAGACGGTGATGTCTCGACGGCTGCAGTCGGTTAGGAGAAGGTAATGTTTGAGAACCATGTCTAATAGCCCAATTAAGAAATCCGATTCTAATTCCAGAGGCCTAATCCAAGTGTTTAAACTAAGATTGCCAATTTTTTAATCTTTAAACAATTGAGACAAAGATTTACAAAAAAAAAAAAAAAATCCAGGCCCAATGGGCCGTATATATCAAATTCCCGTCAACCCGGCCCGTACAATATCTGCAACTGCACCGACAAACTGAGAATTGATTGATTCTTCACGATCTCTGGGTGGTTTCATGGACATGGCGATAGTAACATTAGGAAAAAGTATTCATTAGATCTCAGATCCAATATTATCATTTCATTTTCTCTGTTTTACTTTTGCTCTTCATTTTTCACCTGCAATTTTCGTACCGGAGATATGGATTCGTCGACGCTGCTTTACAATCAGCTGAAGGTTTCATCTCTCTCTCTCTCTCTCTCTCTCTCTCTCTCTCTCTCTCTCTCTCTCTCTCTCTCTCTCTCTCTCTCTCTCTCTCTCTCTCTCTCTCTCTCACACACACACACACACACACACTTGCGAAAATTGATATAATTTGATGATGAAACAGGCAGCGGAGCCATTTTTCTTACTAGCAGGACCAAACGTGATCGAATCGGAGGAACACATTCTCTACATGGCCAAGCAACTCAAACAAATCGCTTCTAAGTACTTCAATTTCATTTTTTTATTTTTTCCCCCAATTTTTTCAGTTGATTTATGTTGAAATTAATTAGCATTAATTGCAGCTGAATTTGATTTTCTCCATACCCCTGTAGACTTGGATTGCCGCTGGTTTTCAAGTCCAGCTTCGACAAAGCTAATCGGACATCGTCGAAATCGTTTCGCGGACCTGGTTTGGCCGAAGGATTGAAGGTAATTGTTGTTGTTGCCTGAATTTGATATAATATTGGTATATTCGAGTTTATAGTTGCGATTTTCGATCCAGTTTTGTTGCTTCCTTGCAGATACTCGAGAGAGTGAAAATCACATACGACATTCCGATAGTTACCGATGTGCACGAGACAATCCAGGTGAGATATGAGAATCGAAATTATAAATTGTTTCTGCAGAATTATTATAATTCGTAATGAAAAGAATTTAGTTCATAATCATAACTTAGGTTCAATTAGGAATTTAGTTAATTATTAATTGGAATTCAATTCGGAAAACTTAGGTTCAATTTGGAATCTAGTTCAGTTATTATAATTCATAATTCGAGCTGAACCTACGTTTTCTACTGTTTCGTTTTTTTACAGTGTGAAGCTGTTGGCAGAGTTGCAGATATAATCCAGATTCCGGCTTTCTTGTGTAGACAGGTTCGATCAGATTTCTTTCTATCATATAAATGCTGCCTCGTTATACGATATGATTCAATTATTGATTATCATATTCATGGACGTACTAATTATTTTTACGGCCTGTTGGATCGACAGACGGATCTGCTTGTCGCAGCTGCCAAGACTGGAAAAATTATCAATATCAAGAAAGGCCAATTTTGCGCGCCTTCTGTAAGTACTTTTCCCCCCTAGTTCTGTTTCACTCGGTTCTTTTTTTCGCGCCACGAGTTAGCATGTCGAGATTGGATGGCTAGCCTTTGATCAATTGGTTTTGTAGGTTATGGCAAATTCTGCCGAAAAGATTAGGATGGCTGGAAATGAAAATGTTATGGTTTGTGAGAGAGGCACAATGTTTGGCTATAGTAAGTGCCTAGCTTCCCTTTTTTTAACTAATTACTACTAGAAAAAAAAACTATATTTGACGGAATTATCGTATTTTATGAAATAATAATAGATTGAAGATGTGCATTTTCTTATGCAGTAATTTGTAAGTTCCGAAAGTTGATGTTCCCATGATTTTGAACCTATTTGGTTGAAAATCAACATTTTGGCGACTAGACGATAACTTTGTTGGTCTAATATGCAGATGACTTGATTGTTGATCCACGTAACTTCGAGTGGATGAGGGAGGCCAACTGTCCTGTGGTACGATTATTTATCCATGCCGAGTTACTAATGCATGCCATGAAAACCAATATTCACACAATCTAGACCATAAAATCCTTTGAAACATTTGATTCTTGTGTGTGTTATTTTCTAAATTAAAATAAATATTTTTCAGGTGGCTGATATAACACATTCGTTACAACAACCTGCTGGAAGAAAGGTTTGTAGTATCCCACTTAAGGATTATGACTAATAATTTGGTAAAGTTTCTTGATGCAACTACATGCGTGATTATTTAAATATGCATCTTTGGCAAGACGAGTTAAATCGTATAAGAGCATGTTTGAATTGTATGATTTGGAAGCTATGGATTTGAGGTTCATCGTAATAAACCATTAATCAGTTTGGACTATTAGCCATTTAATCATTTTGATCGATTTGAAAATGCACCCGGCAATGGAGTTACTCAAACTTCTTAGCACCAAATCTCTTTCCCCAAATTTAAATTCTTCATCCAAATGTCACCTAATATTATATTCGTTAATATTAATGTTACTCAGAAGAGCTGAGACAAGACAATTTTCCTTTTGCTCTATGTAGATGCTATCATTCGCTTTTCCCTTTTTTTTTTTAATTTCTTTTCAATATTAACAGCTTGAAGGTGGTGGTGTTGCAAGTGGAGGTCTTCGTGAACTAATACCCTGCATTGCACGGACCGCAGTTGCTGTCGGGGTGGATGGAATCTTTATGGAGGTAAGTAAAACGGGTCTCGTCTAGTCAAAACAACTCATTTTTTTTTTTAATATATTTGTATACTCGTCTGAATGCGATGTTTCGTTGCACGTATTATGTGGCAATTAGGTGCATGATGACCCTTTAAATGCTCCAGTTGATGGTCCAACACAGTGGGTAAGCATTACTGAATTTTAATCATGAAGAAAAAAAAATAAGTATAGCTTTTAATACAGTTACAGACGTACAGTAACTTATCTCCATCTGACTTCTCTCTGTTCAACTTTTATTATACAGCCTCTTCGCCACCTGGAAGAACTTCTAGAAGAGCTCGTCACAATTGCAGTAAGTTATTTCGATTCAAACCTAATACAATTTGTTAGCGGAGGCTCACTGAGCATCGGTCGATAAACGAGATCCAAATCATCGATCAAAATTAAGTGTATAGGCAATAATATGGTGCTTCAGCTAATAAAAAAAGTCGTGTATTTGTCCTTGTAGAAGGTTAGCAAGGGGAAGAAGCAATTTCAAATCGACCTCACTCCGTTCCATCCGTGAAACCTGGAACAGATTCATCCTGCGGAAATATGTCGAGAATATATTATTGTCTGGTTTTATTAATAAGTCGGCTTTTATACACTGATTAATCGAGGCTCGGTTTTCAGCCTCGTCGTTGTTCTACTATTAGTTAGACTCTTGGCAAGTCTGAAGATTCTTTGTATTCGACACTATATGTATTATTTTTTGTAAATCGAAATTGGGCAAAATGCATACGTTACGAAGGTTTTAGATCGTAATTACCGATGCCGAGGGTTATAGAAGGGCTTCACGCAAAACAAAAAAAAAAAAAAAAAAAAAACAGCATAGTACACGGTTAACGAGAACACGAGATAAATTATTCTGTCGAAAAAGATGGCTATTGGCAATACAAGTACACACGGTTCGTTCCTTCTCAATCTTTATATACATCACTAATTTCCATCTCGAAATCTTATTAATCATTCTTCAAAAGCTATTACATAACAACAATTGAATTATAATGTTTACACTATATAGTATAAAGTATATCATCATCAAAAAAAAAAAAAAAAAACGGCGAACCTCCAACTACGAACAGGCAGCCAAACAATCTTGCGAAATCACCAAATTTTCTCGATCCAACGACTCTGTCACAACCCTATAAAACTCCACCCACGAATTCGAACGAGAATCCACCGGGCCCCACATAAACGTAGGGTTTGGAGTAGCAGGGCAAGCAACAACCAAGTCCAATACAGAAGCTGCAGGTTTTAACGACTGAGGGAAATTGAAAGCCAAATTATCGACTTTATGCTCATATATTTTCCCATTTCGATCCAATTTATAACGGGATGTGCCTTGAAATTGCCCCTTCGCCTCCCACGGGACCCGCGGAACGCCCCTCAGATTCCATCTAATTAGAATCATATTTTCGGAGGGCTGCCAAACTCTTAGTACTTCGAGTGATATATCTTTGAACAAGATTCTGCCGTGGAATCTCAATGCCCAGAATATCGTTTGGTAGTTCTCGATTCCGGTGAATGTGTTTAACGGGTCCCTAAATGTTATATCATCCCTGCCAATTAAACAACAATTGCTCAAAAAAATAAAAAATAAATAAACAACCTCGCATTCTTCGATACCAAGAAACAACTTATGTTTAGGCATTGGTTCTATTGATGCTCGATTGACCACATTCGTACCTACTCAAAGTTACTACAAAAATCGATGCCCGCCGTTAAATGTTATTATTTCATTAAATTAGTAGTTTCCCTCCTGTAATCGATTTTATATTAACCATATCTTGATTTTATTAAGAAGTTTTATAATAAATCACATATAATATCAAAATTCACTAGAAAAGTTGAACTCGGCAATTAAATACTATCATTTCATTAAATTAGTAGCACCCAGTCTCGTTTTCGTACGAGGTTCGATTAAACAAAGTAGAAACACAACTTTATCCTAAAATAATATTAATCAAATTTAATATAATCCAAAGGACCAAAATCAATCCAATATAGATAACTTTGTAATAAAAAAAAAAAAAAGATAGAGATAAAAGGGGGGTACCTGTAGATATCATAATTGAGGTCTTTGGTGAAGATCAAAGGAAGGTCTTCACGGAGAGTTCGGACAGCTAAACCTAAATTGACATAAAAATCATTTCTTTGGTCGTTTTTCTTGTCCTGCACACCTGATATTCGGTTCACCTGCACCACTCCGACAAGTGGGAGCTGCTCCAGCTTCGTCGGAGATGAAGCAGTGGAAGTGGAAACTGACGACGGCGACGGCGGCGGCGGTGGAAGAGTAGTGGCGGAGGAGGATTTGTCTTTTGGTTGGATGAGAGTTGGAGAAAGATTTGGCAGAATATAGGCCATTTATTTTTTATTTTTAGTTTTTATTTTATGGAAGAAGAATAATGAATAATGGAATGATTAAAGAAAGCAGGTTATTTGATTTTGTATTGTGGAAGGAGAAAGTGGGGATGTTGAATTTTGAGTGGTTTTGAGCATAGCCAAGATTTCCTGTCCTAAACTGTAATTTCCAGGTTTTATTTCTGCTACTTCCCCTTGTATTTATTATTGCCAAATGTCAATCTTGTTTTGGTTACATTATTTTTTCTTGTATGGTAGTATTTGGCAAAAATTTCTTTAATCATGTTGAATTAAATCTTTCAAAAATCACACAATGTTACCAAGTCGAATACCTCAAAACCTCTTCTAAATTCAAACAAAAATAAGTTTGGATATCCATCATCTAAAGTTTAAACAATAATAGCAATAAACTCTAATATTACAAACTGCAATTTACATATTTGTATTCTATGTTAGCTATGGTATTTGATTGTCACAAGTTCCTTTTACTACTTGCTAATTTACAGTAAACTACAAAGAACAATAAATTACTCATTGAAATTACAATTTCATATCAGCCCCAGATCAAAATAACTGTTTGCTTACAATTAATTATGTAATTACATAAGTTCACTGTTTTGAAATTGCTCGATACATGTAGAGTAAAACAAGTATTAACAGAACTAGAAAATAAGGATCGATAGTCCGATCAACATCCCGGAAACCACCCTCAACACCGCCAACGTATTTGAAGCCAACTTCAACGCACCAACATGTCACAGCTCGAGCATCGCTTCAAATTGTTCACTGTGTTTCCAACATAAACATCTTTGATAATAACACTAATTACATCTAAATTAGTTATTTTCAAAAATCATGATGTTAATTTTATAAAAATCATAAAAAATTACTAAAAAACAAATTTTATTAAATGTTTAACCATTAATTATCTTAATAGTAATAGGGGTATAATTGAGAAACCACAATAAATATCTCATTGAAATCCTACTCATTGCAATCCTAAAGTGACAATTATTTTGAAACGAAGACAATTCTCTAGAAATACAATTAAAATGAGTCAGAATAAAAAAAAATATTAATTCAAAAAGCAAAAAACTAAATTCAAAAAAAAAATTTAAAAACTGAAATGGGAATTTTAAATAAGCCTCAGAATTGCAGAATAAAATCAGCAAGGACTTCTTGCGAAGGCCATTAAGTCCCGAAAGATGGTGTGTTTTATATGTGTTTCTCATCACAGGCTAAAATTCATCAACCAAATAAAATCATAAAAATCAAATATCAAAAAAAAAAACAAAAATGAATTCTAGAGAGAGAAAATGTCTTTCTCATGGCCAATCCCAAGAGATCATAGCCGCAACCGGCTACCCAAGGCGATAGGATATGAGGACGCCTCCAAAATACCTTCGGAAATTCAAAATCTCAACGAAGAACAAAACAAAGGCTTTTTCTAGCGACGAATTTCTTCACAATTGAGTCATACGAACACAAATTCAGCTCGCCCCAATATTTTTTTGTGAATCGCCGCAAATTATACAAATACCAAGAGCCGCCGATAATAAACCCTAGGTAGCTTAATTTACAGAATTAAATTTATAAAAAAAAATTGTACAAAAAATCAGGAAAAAATAAATAAATGTAGGAGCATATGAATGCACAGGCAAAACAAGAGAGAAGCCAATGCCAGAATATCAGCACCAATTCAATATCGGCAACGTACAGCGCTATTTACACCATTATTACTTTTTGGCGCATCAGTGACTCTAATTTGTTGCCTTTTTATTCCAGATCTTACTTTTTCACAATAATTTCAAATTAAATTAAATAAAAAAAATATTAAAAAAAAAGGCTCAGGAATTATGTTTTATTTGCATCAACAAGCCCCCGTTAATAAGGCTTTCAAAGTTTGATGGCAATAATTATGACATCACTGCCTTTATTTTTCTAATTAAAAAAATATAAGCATCAGCGAATCTAATCTGTTGCCTTCTTTATCCAGATCTTAATTGTCTTTCACAAAAAAATTAAAAATGAAATTAAATAAAAAAAATTAAAGAAGGCTCAGAAATTATGTTTTGTTTGCATCAACAAACCTCATTAACAAGGCTTTCAAAGTTTGATGGTATAAATATGATATCACTGCCTTTACTTTCTAATAAAAAAATGAATTGACAATTAAATATAATTTAAAAAAATATATATAGAATTGGAAGGAAGAGACCTCAGAAATAGCAGAACTTTATACATCAAAGAAATTCTCAGATGGTACGGACAATTCTCAATGCATCACCGGCCTTTAGAGATTCCTAATTCATATATATACTCAAATTGTGTGTAAATTTTGTAGAGAGAGAAAGCTTTAATCGGCTGCGTGAAATTTGAGAAAACAAAGTGTGTGCCAGTGCGTGTAGAGAGAGAAAGCATCAATCGGCTGCGTGAAAATTTTGTAGAGAGAGAAAAGTGTGTGTATTTTGTAGAGAGAGAAAGCTTCAATCTGCTGCGTGCTAATGGAGGATGATTTGATGTGTGTTGTGAGGTGTTTGTGTGTGTATATATAGGGAGACGGTGAAACCCTAATTCTGGATTTAGGAGTTGTGAGCTGCCGCTTTCGAGTTTTCGTTATTTGTGTATTGGCCCAAGTAATGTTTATGGATTGCGTTTTGGACCCCCGTCTTACTTTCAGTATTAGCAATTACTCCCTTTTTGGGCCTTCATTAAAATTTCTCTTGACATTAAGATTTGTATTGGGCTCAAATTGGACTTATGACACTACTATATTTTAATAAATGAAATGATTTTTACGGTTTGAAATTTGTTATTTACGGTTCATAATAAAAAACACTTTATCTCTCTAAAACCGCAAAACCTCCCAAAAAAATCCAAAAATCCTCCAAACTGCAAATAGCAAAAAAAAAAAAGAAAGAAAGAAAAATTCAAAAATTCGAAATCAAGCTTGAAGAAGGGTTGGGCTTCGATTTTTGAGGTAATTTCGACTCTTTTATGTGTAATATGCATTGAGTATGTCGATTACATAACCAATTTCATGTTAAAAAGCCCTACAAATCGATTTGTAGGGCTTTTTTTTTTCTGCAAAAACATGTTGGAACATCCAAGATGAGCGCCCATCTTGGGCATTCAATTAAAAAAAAAAAATTTGCACTCGACGCCCAACTCGGGCCCCCAAATGCACGTTACACGCCTAACTTGGGCGTGCACTGCATGAATGGGTGCCCAAGTTGGGCTTTTGCGCGTTTTCCCCAGTTTTTTCGATTGAAAGATGGAATTTTGATCTCGTTATGTCGGGTATCTCGATCTTCATCCGATGAGCTCATTTGTGTTCGAATATCACACCAATAAGAATGATTTTTAAGCAAATTCCCTTCTAAAGCTTTTTAGAGGTTTTTTTTCATATAGAGATAGAGGTTTCGAAGTTATGAACCGTAAATAGCAATTTTCAAACCGTAAGAAGCAAGTCCTTTAATATATATAAAATATATACTTAAAAGACCGCGAAGAAGGAACTTTTATATACAAATTAAAAAACATTCCACAAAATCTAGAAAATTAAGTTGAATTTGACGACATAAAAGTGGACGTGAAAGAAAACTTATAGTTGAGGGAGGTGGTTATATTTATCTAAACAAGAGGGGAATTTTCGTAATTTAACCTTAGCGAAATACTTTCGTTCCATATTATGATTATGATTATCTGTTACTTTAGATTTTTAATAATGTACTAAAAACCCTATTGTTTAACTTTAAGTTTAACTTTCTCTTATCACGTAATTAAACGATCACGGTTTATTTTCGTCGTTTTAACGTGTGTGTTTTCCTAAAAGCAAGACATATTTATTAAGACTTTCTAGTATTTCTGCAAAGCTGAAAAACGACAATTATTTAGAAACGAATAGAATAACAAAAATACCATAATACGGGGACAACGAGTATGATTTTATTTAAATCCATCATGACCAGAGCAAGATGATATTTCATGTCATTATTTTTAATTATGTTTATATACAATCTATATATACATATAAAATAATAAAATCATTTAATAAAAATTTCAAATGTATGAAATGGGCTCAATCTATTTGAGGCCCAGCCAATTAAATCGGATTCGAACAAAATTACGGGCCTAATTCAAACGGATTAAATCCACACCCGGCTCTATTTTACCGTATCAAGGGTATAAATGTAATTGCACACCTGTTAGGATCTGCTAACAGCAATTTTTGGGTGGCTGTGGCTATCTGACATTCACCAAAACGAATTATAAAAAAAAACGAAAATAAATAAAACAAAAAGGGGGAAGAAATTAGAAAGAAGAGTGTGGGCAAGTAAGAGTGAGGAAAAATCCACCGATTTAATAAACAAAAAAAAACCCTATTTCCTCTCTCTTGTAATTTTGCTCACAATCTCTAATAATTGGATCGAATCCGATATCCAGGGCTTTATCCGGGCTTCTCAATATGGTCAGTGATTATATATTAATTTTACCCATTTTTTTTGTTTGGATTTTTAGCTGCTTTGATTCAATACTCGCGAATTTCCAGCTCTTAATTGCTGTTATTGGTGCTTTAATCACTGTTACCAACAGTGTATTCTTATTGCCCAAGTGTTGTTGTTGGTGAATTACACTGTTTTTTAATTTTTGCTAGCAGTTCACGAGTTTGATTATTTAGATTTCTGTTCAGCTGAAGAGAAAAGCAATTTTTTTAGGTTTAATTTTGGTGTTTAAGTGGAAAGTTGATTGATATGTGTTGTTGTTTGCATGTTAGAATAAGCTGGGCAGAGGTCAGCGTGACAAATTGCAGCAGTTCATGTCGATTACTGGCGCAAGGTACGTTTAAAAACTCAAATTTAGGCTGGGATTTGATTTTTTTGTTTAATTTTGGAGGTTCCCGCTTGAAATATGCTCTTCGGTCACGTTGATTCGTCTATTTCGATAACATTTTTCCCGGTTGTTCGTGCTGTATTTTTGAGTGCTTTCTCTTATCGTGAATTTCGTTGCGTATTTACTGTAGGATTTGTGGTTTTTTTAAGGTTACTTACAGCCTACTATGTATAAAAATGGAGCCTTGCGACTGAAAATTGCTGTATGCGTTGAAAATATCGATGTGTCTCCCTTTTATGTTCATTTCTTTTTGTTCGATGTGAATATTTTATGTAGTCGATAAGTAAATGCTTTAAATCCTATTATACATCCTAAAATACTCTATTCCGAAAAGTCTTTATCCAATGATTTAGACGATGGGGTGTGAGGAGCGTTTTATTATGATCTTTAACAGACGAAGTAACTTTTGATGTAGAATATTAGAACTTGACTTTCGGTAGAGAATTGTACGACTTTCTTTTCGGGTTTTCATTTTCAGTCATTTAGTTGCCGTCTTTGAGTTAGTGGGTGGTGATCTGTGTAGTTTAGCTTGTTTTTATTTTATTTTCCATGCAGTGAAAAAGTAGCTGTCCAGGCTTTGAAATCCAGCGATTGGCAATTCGAAGGAGCATTCGACTTATTTTACACCAATTCTAATGTCAAGTCGGTTGCTGACACAAGGCACCTAGAGGAGCTTTACAATAGATACAAAGGCAAATATTTCGATATGTTTTGTAATTTTTTATTATGTTTACTTTTTTACAGATATTCTTTCTTCTTAGTTACCGTTGATTTCTATTGTGGAATCATCTGACATACTGAAACACGTAGAATCTAACTATAGCCTATCACGTTTTTCAGATCCCTATGCTGATATGATTTTGGCTGATGGAATATCTGTCATGTGTAATGACCTTCAGGTAAGACTTACACCTCTTATTACGGGTGACCTTTTTTTAATTTTAATTATTATTATTATTATCTGTTTAACCGAGTTTCATTGTTAACAAGCGGGCATTTTCTCTTTTGACAGGTTGATCCTCAAGATATTGTAACAGTAAGTTACATATACACATGTACTGTTGCTTAATCTCTCTTGATTATGTGTATTGGGTGAGATTGTTTTATCGAGACCACTATATCTTAATCGATAGTGCAGTATAGTTTGGTGGCTTATGCTTTCATTTATGTTTAATGTTTTCATGCGCCCGTAATTTTGTTCTAACCGTATTTTATTTTGTGTCTTTAATGCGAACCCAAACTCTCGTGAGTTTCTGATTGTATTAGGATTCTGTTTTGTCCTTTTCTGATTCTAGCTCGATTTTGATATCCATGCTTTTTAGTTGGTGATCTCGTGGCATATGAAGGCTGCTACAATGTGTGAATTCTCAAAGCCGGAGTTTATTGGTGGATTACAATCTCTTGGGTCAGTATCGGTCTATGTTTTCTTCTTTAATTAGGTTGATACTAAAATGAACCATTTTTCCGGACTGTATTTGGCAGGATCGATTCGCTGGAGAAGTTCAGAGAAAGAATACCATTTATGCGTGCTGAAATGAAAGACGAGCGTATGTGATGTTTTTGAAATACAGTCTTCAGTCAAAAAAAAATATTCACTTTTTTTTCTTCTAAATTGGTGTTTTCCACTACTCGGTTTTCCTCTCGAAATCGTTTAATGATTGTAGTACGAATAATTGATTATTTTTGCTGTTATTGGTTTCTTAATTTTTCCTGGTGCTAAATTATACTCTTGATTTATTTGTCCAGAAAAGTTCCGAGATATCTATAACTTTGCATTTGGCTGGGCAAAAGAGAAGGTGATTTTCATTCTCGGTTGGACCAATGATTTATTTATTTATTTTATAATTATTCATTTTGGAAGAGAAATATTAGTGAGCCTCGCCTCTGAGAAGCTACGGTGGGGTATTATTAAGAGTGTAAAAAATGTGTTCTGCTCGGGGAATAAACTTTTAGTTCAATATTTTCTCATTAGTGTTTCTTGTTCACAGACGTCCCGTTTCTTGTACAGTGATTCACAAACCCTTCCATTGATCTTTTTTATTATGAAAATCGATGAAAGTTTGCTGATATTGTTTTTTATTACAGGGTCAGAAGTCTTTGGCATTGGATACTGCAATTGGAATGTGGCAGTTGCTATTTGCAGAAAGGCAATGGCCGTTAGTCGATCACTGGTGCCAGTTCTTGCAGGTGGAAAAACAACAACCCCCGTTTCTTGATTTTACGAAACGAGTTATCTACTATTTCTTACCATAAAAAGATTAATATATCTTCATTTAACTAAATCAGGCAAGGCACAACAAAGCAATTTCTCGTGATACGTGGGCCCAGCTACTCGAATTTGCAAGGGTATTCCATTTTGTCTATAATTTACTTTTTTTTTTTTCTGTGAAATCCCGGGATTTCGGAATCTAATTGCTGATTATTCTGATAAAATATTCTTAAAAAAAATAAAATGCAGACAGTGGATCCTGCATTATCGAATTACGATCCAGACGGGGCATGGCCATATCTGATAGATGAATTTGTGGACTATTTGGCTGAAAACGGCGTATTTCAAAAGGGCAAGTTAGCCGATTGGAGCTACCAACATTGATCGATTCGATTGCCCTGTTTGTATCAATTTCCCTTCTGTTTTATTTTTTATTCCCCTTTTCGATTGATGATGTAAAATTAAAAAAAAAAAACCGAAAAACTCTAGTACTATATTACAATTGTGTGAAATATTGGGGGGCATGTTATGAAACATTCTGGTATAATTAAATATTTAATTGCTCATCATTTTCTGAATTCACTTAATTGGATTATGAATTTTGCAGATTTTTTGATGGATTTGTATCTGATTTATGAATGCAAGTGCAATATTTCATCAATACTTTATTTATTCATATATAAATATAATTATATTTCAACATCATTTCTATATTTCAATATCAGTAAATTCAGAAGTCAGAATAGGGTCTTCGGAGGGGCCATCGGGAGGAGCGCCAGCATCACTGCCGTCGGCTGGTGGTGCACCGCCGTCTGGTTGGCCGCCGCCGCCTCCACCACCGCCGCCGCCAGCACCACCGTCCACCGGAGGATTGCCGCCGCCGCCAGTAACACCACCATTGTTGTTGGGGCCACCACAATCTTTAGCACAAATACACTTGAAAAACCCTTTGCATCTGCCAGTTAAATAACCTTCCTTCTCACAAATTGAAGCACAGTTGTCATTCCTGAAACATGCTCCCTTGAAGATTTGACTTTTTGTCTCACACACTGATGCTTCTGCCACCATTACTACACCATGCAAAAAAAAAATTAAAAAATATTAAAAAATTAATAATAAAAAAAACCCATTATTTTTATTTAATATTATATATATATATATATATATATATATATATATATATATATATATATATATATAGACAATAATGCTTACAGGAAACCAAAAGGACAACTCCCAACAACTTGATAGCCATTTTTGTTTTGTTTTCTTGAATTGAAAGACAAAATCTTGAGTTAATAAATCCCACATTGATAATGGGATGTTTATATAGTGAGAGAGTGAGAGAAGAATTTTGGCCCTTGTACAAAAGACTCACAAGTGGCTTACAAGTAGTATTCTTTTTTGAAAATATGAAAAGTCCTATTTCCCATTATTTAATTTTCTTTGACAAATTAATAATGATGATTTATTGAATTTCGATTAGGTTGGTTTTCTCCAACTTGCATTATTAACTGCATGTTTTTACTAGCAAAAAGTATTTATGAGCCTGTCCTACTAAGCGAAGGCTTTTCGTAAGAAAATACATAATTGAGAAAATTGTTGTAATTACCTGAACAAAAAGGATTTTTTTGTAATTTGACCTTACATCAGAGGTGACCGGAATTTGCGCAATTGACGATGACAAATACATTGTGAATACTATATAAGACAATTTTCTTTCTTTTAACATAACATTTAAAGATGGCCCTTTTTTATAATCGGATTTATAAAAATGCACTTCCCCCCTCAAAACATTAAGTATTTGCACTAAACCCCCTACAAATATAAAAAAGAGAACTCCTTGAAAATACAAAATACATTGCACATTGCCCCCAATTGTAGATTTTTTTGGTAGAATGAAGTGTTTTAGAAGGGTAATTTTGGCAATTAATGTGCAAAACCCTTCATAATCAAATATCCATCAAACTTTTTAGAGAAGCCTATGCATGAAGAACAAAGTTAATTAATTCATCTTTGCAGAATTTTAAAATAACATAAATAAATAAACTAGCAAGAAAATTCTAACCAGCAAATCTTCGAATTCGCGTGAATTTACGCTTCACGTGTTGTAGACATGTGAAGCATATGTTCCGGCACGCGTCTGTTCCTGAGCATACACGCTGCCACATCAACAACGCCCGCGTATTTCTCGAGCAAATCGTTAAGCGCCACGTCATCATTCGGAGTCCTCGTCCTAATTAGCATGCTCATGGACGTAAGCTTATCCGCCTGGAATAATAAATAATATTATTACAAGTCATGTAAAACTACAAAAAAAAAAAAAGATAATAAATAAATACAAGATTAATAACGCACACACGCACCACCATATCCATAAAAATCGGATCTCCAATTTGCAGACCGGAATTTCGCAGCGTGTCGACCGGCGACACGAAGCGACGCGTGTGTCTTTCGTACCACGCGTCGTAACCCTTCTCCGAGGTGGGGCCCGCGAGAGTCGAAGCGTCTATCGTGTGCTTGTACCGATTTCGCCACTCGAAAATGTATCTATTGTGATGTTCCTCCCAATTTCTTCCCGCATTGCCCCTACGGTCGGATTTGTGCAGTGCGATATCGCATTCGGGGTTCGATGGATTCGAAGGGATGTGCTGTCGCATCCCAAATTGTCGAAGTACCCTTTCGGGGCGGTATATTTCGACTAGCGAAAAGCATATCAACGGACACGTCAGTAACCATAGGGATTGGTTAACAATATCGCGATCTTTAGCCAAAGTAATAAACTCGGGATCCGTACGATCGTACGGCTGCCAAGAAAACTGCATGAAGAAATAATCAGGTAATTGTTAATTGATATTTTTTTTAAATTTTATTTAACTTTAGGGTATTAAAGACATTACACATTTTTATGGTACGAAATTTTCAGAGTGATTTCGGTAATTACGAATACTTGAGACAGAGGGTTTTTAGTAATTTACCCTAATTCAAATATAAGTACAATTATGAATAATGTTTAAATAATGCAATAATGAGTATTGAGAACCTGGTGTGGGAGCATTTGATCGAGAATTGCCCGATATAGACGTACACTATGTCTACTAGATTGAGTGTAACTCATTCGTCCGATCCACCTGCGCCGTACGAAGAAGTTAACATAAATAAATCAAATTACTGTACATTACGAATTTGAGAATAAACGGAATTAATGATTCTCAAAATGTTTACCGTGCACCATATGGCGGAATTGGAAATACGTTGTCATGGTCAACAATTTGAGACATATCTACGTTTTTATCAACGTGAACGGGAGTCAGTGGTGATATCCTCATCCATGCCCAAATCTGCCGAAATTGTACACGAACGGGTTAGAACAATTTAAACGGGAACGAGAGTCGGCTGAATTTCTAAGTTGAGTCAACTCATTATCTCAGTTTTGAATCAGTTGACTATGAAAACTTCACTAGTTTTCCCAAAATATAAAAATAGGGCAAATTCGGCCAACCTCCTGAGGTATGACCAAATTACGAAAAAACCCTGTTTATTGGATAATTACAGCCACCCCTCCTTTTAAATATTTTTACATAAAATTTATGCAATTCGATTATTTACCGAACGAAATCGTATATTTAGTTCGGTAAACGGTATGAAATGTTGGCGTACCGAAATTTCGGTTCGGTTTTACCAAATTAACACCCTAAATTTACCTGGAGTCTTTTCGTAAGATAATACATAGCTGAGGGGGTGGCTGTAACTACCGAAACAGGAGGGGAGTTTTCGCAATATTACCTGTAATAACTGCAAAGGACCACCGATATTGGATTTATTTTTATGAGCCGCCCAACACAACTCGCGATACAAAAACGCTAGCACGGCACTACCCCAACTATACGAACCAACTTCATCAATTACTTCAAAATTTTGAAGATACATCAACGAGATCGAAGTCGAAGTTTTGTCGGAACACATGACGCCACCAAACAACATGAACGCTAGTCCACGCGTGTATTGCTCCACGTGCTCTTCCGAACTGTCGTCAGTGACGGGGCGATTCTTCATATGCGATGCGAGGGCGGAAACATGTAAGCTTCCTCCCCTAAGTTGAGACTCGGTGGGCGTAAACCCCAGCATGAGCTGGCAGTACACCTGGCAATCGCCCACTGATCTCGTTACATCCACACCGGTGACGGGGCGGCCTTCGATTCTTAGGCCCCACATCAGAGCCACGTCCTGCAGTGTGACGGTCGCCTCCCCGGTGCGGAAATGAAATGTGTGGGTCTCCTGCCGCCATCTCTCGACCAAGGCGGTGATGAGGTGGTAATCCACCGCTATGCGCCCGCAACGATACACGCCGTAGAATCCCATGCGGACCAGATTCCGTAGCACTCTACGGTGGGGGTGGCGTTTTTGAAATAACGACCATAAACCCTTGTCCGCGCGCCTCCCACGTAGCGTCTCGTCGATGGCACCCTCCATGACGGCTTGCGATCTATGCTTCGCCTGAAGATACAATAAGGACGCGTCGCGTGGGCCGTATACGTGTTGCGAGTCCGTACTGTAAAAACGATAGACAAGAATGAGATTCATTATACAATACGCAATAACGTCAATAAAGATTTGTAACGTGTGAAACCTAAAATCTAAACACTAAAAACAAGTTCCGGCACCAAAGTCGTTGATTGTGGATAACTATCTTGTTTATGATTGGAGCCCTCGCTAAAATAAAATCTAATGCCCGAAAAAACAACATTTTGTGAGCTCTAAACCCTAAACTATCCGGAAGCATTTCAAGTTGAAGCACCGGTTGAAACTGCAGTCCGCTGCAAAAAATAATCATTTCAGCGACAACACCAATTTTCACATGGTTGGCAAAAAATGTTGTCACTATGCTTGTCACTAATGCGGTATCACTAATTCCATACCGTGACAAAAAAAATAATTGTCACTTCTATTTTGTACAAAACGAGTACAAACTATATTTATAGTTGAGGGGTAGATGTAATTATCCAAACATGAGGAATTTTTTTCGTAATTTGTATTACCTCAGGGGTGGTTGTAATTTACCCTAAAGTATATTATATGTATGTAACCTCGGTAAGTATTTGTGTCCATATTATACGTTTAATTTCCTCACCTCCATACTGGCTCGATAACTGGTTCGGCAGCTGTGGTACCTTCGTGTTTCGGAAACTCGTCACGTAAGCTGCTCGTATTAGCAGAGCCAGTTACATGCATTTGCTCCTCCGCCACATTTTCAGAAGAAACAACAGTTCTCTTCTTCTTTGAACAACTTCTCAAACGATCGGTATCCGAATCGAAAGAACTCGAAGAGATACACTTCTGATCTCTCTGGTCAGAAACCTTATTTTCTAATGTGGAATCGTTCGTCGATGTGGTGGATTCATTGATGTCTGTTACTATGTTCTCCTCGTAACGTTGCTTCGACGACGCATTGTTATTAACGATGAATTCTTTAACACGTCTAGTTTTCTTGTTATTTTCCTCTGTTTGAACTGTCGCTAAATCAACCTTCCGTTTTCCAATATTTCCCTTTGGTGCTTCGGCTTTACAGTCGTCACAAAGCCAACGAACATATTCATCTGAAATATCGGGTATTACATCGAGACAATAGCTGAAATAACAAACAAAAAAGAAATAGAGTTGATAAAACATACCATCCCAATCGTACGTTTATAGCATGTAAACAATCGATACTAACACACACACACACACACATGTATATATATATATATATAGCAACTTCACTACTATGTGACGTACCGATGCACAGAAGCATTCTGACATTTCTCACATTCAATCAATGCGTTAGTGAATCCTTTATCGCCACACTGCAGGCATATTGTCACCTTCATAATGATTATATACACGAGACGATTAGCATAAGCTAATAATATTTACGGAAACCATAACCAATGAATACTTGAAAGAAAAAAAAAAAAAACTCCACGATGTGGTAACGAACAGTTTTTAAAAAATCGACTTATAAGTTAACATATGAAACTAATCCATCTCTTAGAGAACAATGCACACGCACTTCCATATACCGTTAAACCTCTTTAAATCAATACAGTCGGGACTAACAAAATTCTATTAATTTAGCGAAGTATTAAATTATCGGTTCAATAATTTAATACAATTCTACTGAGTTTGGACCGAAAAAAAGTATTATTTAAGCGAGATTATTAGTATATCGAGTTTCTACTGTATAAAGTAACAAATCCAAGAAACAAAAAGGCGGGAAAATTAAACAACGAGGAAATAAGGAGCGTACCATGATTATGCAAGGAGATTCAAAATTTACTAAAAGAAAATCTGAATCGACACTCAATTTGATTAATCTTCTCTTAAACTCTGCTTTTTTGTTTGGTTTTTACTTGAAGAGCTGCTCGGATCCATTTTAGGGCAACAAATTTGAACTACCCGGTCTCTTTTTTGATTGAAATTTGGGCTTCGTCTGCAAACCCTAGTGATGAATAGTTGCAGCAAGACTCAGGTGAAGAAGCAGCCAGTGAAGAAAATGGGGAAAATTATTTAAAATGTGTGAAATATATAAAAGAATTTAAATGAGTGGGAAAATTAGAAATGAGCGAAATCAATTTAACTTGACTTTTCCTTTTTATTTTTGCATTTTTAAAGTTGGATTTAAAATGCTGCAAATGAAACTAATCTTTTTTTTTTTCTAAGAAAATGGATTTTTTTCATAAGGGAAAATTTAATTCCAATTTTATTTCAAATAACAAAATTTGAAAATTGAAAATCGAATTTTGGAATCCAATTTTTTGTGATCGAAATCGGTGAAAATCTTTCCATTTTTATTCACATGATATAAAATACATAATGATATAAATATTATAAGTGTAATTTTCCGGGAAACCAATGGTTTTCTTGGGTAAAGGGATATGGTCAATTTACGAAAAAAATCCGTATTGTTTGGATAATTACATCTATCCCATTCAACTATGATTTTTTCTTACACCTCCACCATTATGGTGTCATATTCAACATAATCATCTAGATTATGTGAAATGTGCTCTAGTATGTACTCGTTTTGTGTAAAAATACAGTTTATGATGCACCACAATCTGATATATACAAGCCAAAAAATACATATTACGATCATCTTGCTTCAAAATGTAGAGTTCGAATAAGATAAAATGGATACAAAAGTGATAATATTCCATATAATCTCGAAGATTCCACTAAATTTGATGAGTTGAGGGGGTGGTTGTAATTATCCAAACAAGAGAGGGGTTTTCGTAATTTGACCATACCTCAGGGAGGTGGTTGTAATTTACCCCTTTTTTTAATTTAAATCATATCACATATAGGTATCTCTATATATATATATTTCAATTCCGATTAAAAGAAATGGGGAAAAAATCAAGAAATTGAAAATTTAGAATTTTGGTTGAAACATCGGAACAAAATCAGAAAGCTCGTATCGGAGTTGGTGGAATCGGAAATCCGTGTTTTTCTTCTTCTTTTCTTTCTAAAGCTCGATTTTGCCAAAATTCGAATGTCGAATTATATTTAACTAATTAAACTTATTCAATCATGTAAAACACAACCTATACTTTATGTTATTAAAACATAAAATGTGTTTTTTTTACTAGGTAAATTGCGGACATAATTATACCTTGTTTGTATAATATTGATAAAATTGATTAGATTGAATAGAATTACACATCATTCATTATTTTTTATTTTATTGAAAAAAATAAAATATTATATTAACTGTATTGGACACAGATAACAAAATCAGAACAAATTATTTAATCAATTTTTCAAATTAATTAATTAATAATCACAGGCGGCTTCGGTGGCACTTTAGCCGGCGGCACATCCCCGCCCTTCGGTGGCACTTTAGCTTCACCCGGTGGCACATCGCCGCCCTCCGGTGGCACATCACCGCCGCCAGGAGGCACATCACCGCCGCCAGGAGGCACATCACCGCCGCCGCCAGGAGGAACATCGTCGCCGCCGCCAGGAGGCACATCGCCGCCGCCGCCAGGGGGAACAACAACGCCGCCGCCGCCGCCAATACCGCAGTCCTTACTGCAGATGCACTTCCACAATTTGCATCTACCGTTGAGAAACCCTTCCTTCTCGCAAATCGTTTCGCAATTTCGATCGCTGAAGCAAGCTCCGGTGAATATAGAGCTCTTCGTCTCGCACAGAGCCGCTTCCCCTTGCAGTATTATCATCTCCTCTGCATTATTTTATTTTAATTTAATTTAATTCGGAAAATAATTCAATAATTAAATTTAAAAAAAAAAAGCTTACGGAAAGCGAAGAGAAGCAGAAATGGGAGGAGAGAAGTTCGGAGTTTGGAAGCCATGTTTGGATGGTGAAAAAAAAGTTTACTGTATAAATTAAATCTGAGGGCAAATTAAATCCGCCATGGAATTTATAGAGGAAGGTGAACAGTACACAAAAGTAATGCCTGTAAATTGCATTCATAACAGTTTTCTGTTTTGAAAAAACTGTTAGATGGGAGCAATTCAATTTTTATTTCTCTTATTTGGATTGCAAATTATTATATATTAATTATATATTGTTGTCATTAAATAATCGTTTATATGCATGAAGTTTGATTGCAAAGAATTGTTAATTTTTAATAGTATCTGATCTAACACCCTCAATTGCCACATTTTTCATTTTAATTGCCACATTTTTCATTTTAATGGTCATTATTAATTTAACATTTGGATTTTGTTTGATATTTGTTATTACCATGGCTTAATTTCACTTTGCACCCTCAAAATATACAATTTTAGCATTTTGCACCATCGAAAATAACTTATGGCCTTTTGCACCCTCAAAATATGTTTAATTATTTAAAGTGTACCCTAGTTAATTTTCTGGACATAACTTTCTCTTTCTGTTGTTTGGCTTATTTTCTAATCACCAACATGGTCATTTTTGTATATTCATTTGATTTTTTCTTCATGTTGCAAATTGCTAATATATTTTCGAGCAAAAATGATTATGTTGATTGTTGACTAACCAAATAGTAGGTCAACGAACAGAAATTCTTACCGAAAAATAAATTATGATGCAATTTGAACGATTAAACGTGTATTTGAGGAAGCAAAATGACAAAATAGTACATTTCGAAGGTGGAAAGTGAAATTAAACCCAATATAATTACTTATTTAATAGACCCGCAAATATTATAATATTATAGTTACATTCTATCTCGCCTTTTAGGTAATCTTTTTGTTATCATGGAATTTGATAAAATAATTAGATTTTCATCAGATTATTGAATCTGATCTAGCCTACCTTAAAATGTATTTGAATCCAGATTTTCTCTACTTTTCTATTCTGATTAACTCGTAAGAAACTCAATTAATTAAACATCAAAATAGTTTTATCTAATGGTGGACACCACTTATTCATCATGTACATTGTACACTATGCATGTACATACATACACACAGTGAAAGGTGAAAGTGAAACTACGTACACACACATAACACTACAACCGATAAAATTAATTAATGGCAAGGCCTGGTGCAGAAGCAGCGCTTGCGGAAGCCGCGGCACTTGCCGCCGCGGAAGCCCTCGTGGGCGCAGACGAGGCGGCAGTTGTGTTCGCTCCAGCACTGCCCCTTGAAACCGTGGCTCTGCGTCTCGCACATTCTCGCCTCCACTTTTACTATCGTCATCTTACTACTCCCCCACACCTCATCCTCATCTTCTGCATTTTATTATTTATTTATTAATAAATCAAGCACCCTATATATATTATTAGTTTCTTGATTTTGTAAGAAAATAAATTAATAATTAGAGATTATTTATTTTACTTACGAGGGGTGAGGAGTAGAACCAGCAGCAAGAGGAAACCGAAGACAACCTTTGAATTAGACGCCATACCTTAAAAAATTCAAGCTATTGTCTGTGTGTTTTGTGTGTGTGTGTGTGTGTAGGCTAAATATACATGCATGAATAATTGAATATATTTTTGGACACGTAGTGAAGGTGATGGGCTGTTGTGTGACAAGTATCATAATACCACCAGAAAAATAAAAATAATATGTATATGTACACACACACACACCTGAAATTCAGCACCAGAAAGTGATATTACTGCTGAGGTTTTAATTAATTTCTGCAAAATGACAAACAGAGGAAACAGCTGATTTGTATTTTTTCCAAGTGAATTTTTCTCAGTCAAATTTGATATCAAATTTTTAAGGTAAATTACAACTACCTCCTTAAGGTAAAGTGTAATTACAAGAAAACCCCCTTCTTTTTGAGAAATTATTACATCCACCACCTACAAGAATTCCACAACTTGCAGGGGAGGTGGATCTAGTTATGGAAAGATGAGGGGTTTTTGCATAAATAGATCTTACTTCAGGGGTGCAGTTGTAATTTACCCTTTTCCAACGTTGGTTTTCGAATTGATCAGGCATCTTATAAATTGAAGTTTAGAAAACATTTGCATGAAAAATAAGTTGAAAATGTGGTGAAATGAAACAGAATACAAATCCAGATGGTATTATTTATGGCAAAGGTCTGTGGAGTGACATCCAATTTTCAAACCAATGTATGTATATCTAAATGAGTTATTAAATTCTTAAGACTGCTAATACAATAATTTTTGAAGCCCTTCAAATTCATCCAAATTTAAAAAAAAAAAAAAAAAAAAAAACTAAAAAGCAAACTCTTTGATTGCATAAAAATAACTTCACTTAAACAGCAGCTGCTCTATTTAGTGGCCGCCACCAAAGCCATATGCTCTATCAGGTCCAACACCCGGTTACTGCAAAACATACACCCGATTAATGTCGTCTCTCTCTCTCTCTCTCACACACACACACACACACACACACAAGAGAGGGAGGGAGGGAGGGAGGGAGAAAGAGAGAGTACCTGTAACCCCACTCGTTGTCGTACCACGAGACAAGCTTCATGAAAGACTTGCTAAGACCTATGCCGGCCTTTGCGTCAAATATGCTCGATCTGCAACGAGCGAGCGAAAACACGTGACAAAGGGTTACAACTTGAAAGAAATTACATACAGAAATAGTTCCCTTTGGATTTTCATTTACATTTCAAGAATTTGGTGGGCTGTGATATCAAATTAATAGTAACATTTTCTTAGGTGGCAATGGATGAATGATAGTTTGTTCTATAATTCTTAATCATTGCCTGACGTAAATCTTTAGAAAACAAGGCCAACCAAAATTTTGGAATAAAAGTTTACAAATATTTACCTTGAGTCACCAACAAAGTCATTGGAGACGACATCTTCATCCGTGTACCCAAGGATGCCATTCATTGGACCTTCCGATGCATACCTAATTATTTATTTATTTATTCATGAAAAAATTAGCCCAATAACAAAAACTACTAAAAACATATGCGAACTAGAGTCGGATTTTTCACATACTTTATTGCTGCTTTCACATCTTCATAAGAAGCGCTCTTCTCGAGTCGAATAGTCAAGTCCACAACAGAGACATTAGCAGTGGGAACACGGAAGGCCATTCCAGTGAGCTTTCCGTTAAGTTCCGGAAGAACTTTTCCAACAGCCTATAAATTTTTCATACATAGGATTAAGTACAAACAAAATCGGAATGTTAAAGAATATCCAAGGGAAGACAGCCTCGTACCTTTGCAGCACCGGTGGAACTAGGTATGATGTTCTGCCCTGCTCCACGGCCACCTCGCCAGTCCTTCATTGAAGGTCCATCAACCGCCTTCTGTGTGGCTAAAACGTAAAAAAGCAAAGGATTATTAAAGAAAGACGAAACTCTGTATCTATATGTAACCAGCCTTTGCACCGTTGCACGTACCTGTTGTTGCATGGACAGTTGTCATTAAACCCTCCAAAATACCAAACTCTTCATGTACCACCTGCCATGCATAACATGTTTGAGATTAAGAACACAATTAACAGTTATAGTCCTCAAAGAAAATGTCGTAGGTTTCAGTCCAAAACCTTGGCAAGGGGAGCAAGGCAATTGGTGGTACAGCTGGCATTGGAGACGACATCCATGCTCGGTTTGTAAGTAGTCTCGTTTACACCAACCACAAACATAGGAGCATCGGCCGATGGAGCTGAGATTACAACTTTCTTTGCACCACCCTACACAAAGAAATAAAATATTTTTTTTAGTGAGGTGCTTCTTATATGAGATGGCGAAGATGATGACATCAGCCAAACAGACCTTTTTGTGTGCTGATGCTTTATCGATAGTTGTAAAGACGCCAGAAGACTCGACGACATACTCAGCCCCAAACTCACCCCAAGGAATCTCTGCTGGATCCCTGTTTCAAGATATTTCTGAGTTAGTTACGGCAGAAAATAAACCATGATATAGTAAGCACCTAGCTTAATCAGATTCAAATATATTTCAGTGATACCTTTTGCTGCTAACTTTAATTTGCTTTCCATTGATTTCTAAAGTTGAATCATCTACGACTGTAATGGTCCCCTTGTAAGGTCCATGGGTCGAGTCATACTTGAACATGTATGCCTGAGGAGATTAACAACACATTTCACTTTTCGTATCTCATCTTGAAACGGATGTGTACTTACCAGACAAGTAAAAGATCTTGCAAATGTGTTAGAATAAAGTCCGCTCAACAAATGGAATTATTTTGTCGTCTTCGCAAACTACTAACCATTCAAGCAGTTAAAGGAATAAAAATAAAAACTGAAGAAGCACACTTACCATGTACTTTGCATCAATGAAAGGGTCGTTAACAGCAACAACCTCGATATCATCCCTAAAAGTTGCAATGCGTAAAACTAATCTTCCAATACGTCCAAAACCTGCACCAGCAGATATATTAGACGTGTGTTGCCATCATATTTACGACATTAAACTTGAACAAGAGTAACCATTCATAGAAGGCCTTTAAATTTTCCTTGCAGTAAATTAAATTTACAAGTGAAACAATGGCGTACATGAGCAAATAATACTGAGAACCAAAAAAAATATCCCAAGTTAACAGAAAAAAAGAAATTCAAAATAACACGAATGACAAAACATACCATTGATGCCAATCTTTGTTTTCCCACTGCCTCTTGATTCTGAATCGGTAACATGCAAAAAATGAGCTCTTCGACTCTTACAATAAAATTGACCACAAAACCTGTAAAAAAAATATCTTAGCGTATAGGCCTTACTTGGCAATGTTTGAGGTATTTCTGTCGCCGTGGCTCTGATAGGCTGAACACTACGGGCAGTAACCTTCCTGTACATATGTGAACGTAGAATGACATACATCATTATCATTTCTAAGAATTCCGATTTAACAAAAATAATATTGATAATAATTTCTAGGAATGAGGGTCGTGTATTACTCACTCTAATGAAGATGAATATGCCAGGATATTAGTTCCAAAGATGCTAGACTGGAACTTCATGGAGTTAGCATTATGATTAAGGTGCCGGCATGATACCTTAGACAATGAGTAGAATATATTCGTTAATAGCATTTCGAGAAAACCAAGTTCTACTATAAATAATCAAAAAATCGAGACAAATAAATGAAGACGAGCTGGCTCAAGAAGAACTACTTTGCCACTTTCAAGATATAGTTCAACAATCCTCATTGCATTTATATGTGTCTGAATTTATTTTAATTTTAATTTATTTTTAACAAAATCAACAAGAACAACAGCACTCTGGTCATATTCTTATTGAACTATGTACGTTGACGACTTCCAATCGAAAAACAGCATTCTAAATCAGTACAAGCAATCATTTGCTAATGTGTTTCCTTCCATTACAAACCATCAGCCAAAAAGTAATTAACAGTAGTACAGAAGCTGAAAATCAAGCAAGACGTTCTAATCAAATCTGCCATAACTTTTTCTTCAACAACCATAAAAATAAACCGAAAAAATGGATCAATATATTGAAATTTATCAACAACAACAACAACAAAAAATCGCAATACTGAGTGTCGAACAGCTGATCCGAGCTAAATATTGAGTTCAAACACTAGAAAAACTCACCTTGGAGATATCGGAGTGGCGGAAAGCGTCGGCATCGACAACCGGCGAAGGCGCAGATCTGAGGATCGAAGAGGAAAACGCCATTTCCCGATTAAAATCCGATGACTAACCGAGATTTTCAGCTGTACTTTTTTTTTTTTGTATCAATAAAACCAAAATGAAATGGCTAAACCCTAGAGAGAGAGAGAATGGCCTTTGGATGAGAGAGAAGCAGACAGCTTTTAATATTTAAATTGGTATGAAATCAGCGCAGGCGGAGATTTTCAGGTATGGCTCCCACAAACTGTTCTGATTCGAAGCAAAACGGGACTTTGATTTTTTAATAAAATAATGAGAAAATTCAATTAATTAATTAATAATAAATAAATAAATAAAGGGATCACTACCTAACACAAACAGCTCACAATAGAAAATAACGGACGCTGTTACTTACGTTGGTAGAATAGAAGTTTGTCGTTTTGTGGCAGCTAAACGTCGTTGTTACGCTCGAGGCCGAGGGGTGTTTTTGTCATTGCATCTTATTTTGGGTCCCACCGAATCATATTTCGCTTTTGAAGTAAACAACATGGAACAAAAATGTCACACTTGGTTTACTAAATAGGGAAAAATAAAGAAAACTATTTCAATAAATTTTTATTTGAAACCAAAATTTAAGACTTTGAAATTAAAAAAAATTGTTCCAAAATAGAGTTTTTTTTTTATTTTATTATAACGTGTATTTCTTATTCAACCTTACATAAACAACATAACAAAATTGATTTAATAAGTGTGATTTTGGAAAAAGAGAAATTTCGGATATACTTTTCAGTCAAAAATCAGAAACTGATATGTAATTAATTTTCGATTAAAAAAATCGAAATAAAAAAATTTTGGACTTTAAAATAAAATTATTATTCTACTATCATGATCTTCTTCTTTCTCTTTTTTTTTAGTAAATAGCACTTTAACCCCTGTGTGGTTTGAGCTTTGTGCACATGACTCCATTTACTTTTAATATAAGCACATGACCCCCTACGTTATTCCACTTAGTAAATTATGATGCTCATTAGGAAGAGAACTTTTTGAAAGTATAAGGGGTTATGTGGTTAAATTAGAATACAAGGGAGTCATGTGCTATTGTGAAAGTACAAGGGGATGATTTGCACAAAATTCAGAATACAGGGGGCTAAGTGCTATTTACCCCCTTTTTTTTTTAATGAAATCGGCAGAATTGTAGAAGCTATTATAAGGCCCACTGTATAGACATGGGCCTAGTTACAGGGCATTAATCCCCAATTATGGGCTTCATGTTTTAAACCAAAAAGTGCCCAATGTAGATGGGCCGAAAACAGAATTAGCCCACACAAATTTCCAACATCACGATTGTAAATTAATTATTCATAGATAAATATATTAAATTCATTTTGGAATATTTATTTAGGTAAAATTTAACCCGTAAAGGTTTATCGAGTTGGTGGAACAAGAAAATAAAAGACGTCATTTGAACAAAATAATGAGAGTGTAGTGAAAAAAAAACTTAATGAACTTAACACAATGTAGATCAGTTGTACTTTTGGCCTATCCTGATGACTCGAACATATAATAATTATTGGGTCTATTCGATCCGACTATGTATATTCAAAATTGCCTCCCTCTTAGAGTTGACAAAAATAAAAGAATGAAATTCAAACCATCCATAATATAATAATAAGGCAAAAGTCAACTGTATATTAAAAATAAAAATTGGTACACAAATCCGAGCAATGGATGAAGCTCAATTTTTCAATTTTGAAATTTGAATTTAAGGTCAACTCTTTATTTATTTTTTTTACTTAACTTGCAAGAAAATAAATAAATATATACATCTAAAAGGAACTATTTATTATTTTATGTGTGGGGGGTACATTGCACGTTGAGGGTAGCTTCCTAATCAAATAAATAGCTCATGAAATATTGAGCTTCTTATTATTTATCCAAATTTATGGATAATAATCATACAAATTGAAGTAAATTGCAATAATCTAATTGTGAAGTGTAATTGAAATATGGGGCAATTTACTAAGCATCCATGAGCACTAGTACCCCCTTTCAAATTATAACAGTCATATTTTCGTATTTTGCTTTAAGTTTCTCGAGTTGTCAGACAATTTAATTAGAGAGTTCAGACATAAAATAGTTATCAAGAATGAAAATACCTTATTATTCTCTAACTCATTTGTCATCAAGACCACATTGACTTAAAAAAAGAACTTCCGTCTCTTCCTACTAGTCTCATGCTGGCGGACCACCTAATTTTTCAACGAAGCTGTTCATTTCCAATCTAAAATTGTCTATTTTTCAGCATAAATTTTCCAACTAAATTGTCATTTTTCAGTTTAAGCTGTCTGTTTTCGATAAAAGTTGTCCAACTAAGATGTTCCGATAACTTTTTAGTAAACGAGACAAGAAATGTTAGCTATACGAAATATTTTCGAAGGAGTTCTAGCCGATTTTCTCTATAGATAAAATGGCATATTGCAATAGAAGTAAAACCATGAACAAGGGCATATTAGGGATTTTGTCTATTTTTCCATTTGTATATAATCCTAGAGAGAGAGAGAGAGAGAGAGAGAGAGAGAGAGACGTTTGAGCCGTCATTTTCCAACGTCTGAAAAGTGTGGAATTCCTCTTCAGAAAAAGACGAAACACCATAAACCCCTAAAATACTTTAATCAAAGTACAATTCCCTCAATTAAATAAAATTATTTTCTCGAAATCTGGCATATAGTTGAAAAAAATAAACAATAGCCGTTTGAATTCTACTGTAATTTTTGTTTTTGAAGCTGAAGTTGAGTTGCGAAAATGGCGGCCTAAGTCAAAGAGGCTGAACTCTCTCACACTGCATTGATCTCTCTCGAGGTAAACCATTACTGAATTTGTGATTCGGATGATTCTGTTGGGTCGTTTTGTGTATCTGTAGAAATCAAATTTGCGCCTTGTTGCTCTACGAGTGTTGTTTCCGTACCACCTCTTCGGAATTTAGGGTTTTTATTGGGTTTTAATTATTGAATTGACGATGAATTTCTGATAAGTACAGTGGATTGTTGAAGTTTGGTATATTTCCTCAAGTGTAAATTTTTTATTTTTTTTCTTCTTTGGTTGTTTATATGTTTTTTTGCATGCAATAGGCAATAGCATTTTTAGGGGTTTTCCATTTGGAGGTGTAATTGGATCTGCTAGTTTTAGTTGACTGGCTATGTAGTTGATTAAATTTTAATTGGATTCTTTAATTGATTAATGCAGCTCTCAGAATTTAAGCAATCCAAACAGTGAATTTGTTTGTCGAAGGTGAGCCAGCCGGTAATTATGTTTTTTGCGTGTAGGTGTTTTAGCTTTCATGTGTTATTTTTGTCGAGAATATCTGGAAATTGTGACCCCCTTGTGAATCCTGTGCACTATCACCATCTGACCTAGAACAGACAAATCTTAATTCCTTCTAATTGACCTGGTTTCAAGATGTTCGATTTACTCGATAAAGATTATGTGGTTTTATAGCATGCATGTTAGGAAATAGAAATCCTTCCCACCACTCGTACTGACTCCGAAAAAAAGGAAAATGAAATGGAAACACAATTTTTTTGAAAAATGATTACTACCTTATGATTCCACAATATGTTTTCCATTTTCGAAGTTTAACACTAAACGTTTCCTCTTTTCACTGTGTGTTTGATTCAGGATCCTCATTGGCGTTGCCGTTTACTCAATCACAACTTGAGTCAGAAAATGTTCCTAAACTTATATGTATTACCTAAATATCACTGAGCCTCTTCTCGAGCAACGTCTCTGCTTTGCAGTGAGCATTGTGGTGTTTCTATCTGGCTTTTGCAAGTTACTCAAAAGATTGTGGCACCGCCAGTTCTCCCAATTAAATATTTATTTGAAAGAGGTTGCAATCAGCAGTTTCAGTATGGAGCCTTCACAGAATCATAATTTTGTGCAATTTCATTCCCCAGAATATGGAAACGAAGATCATGGTTCTGAATCACAAGGTTTTAAAAAGGAACCTTCAGGTCATGCAAATGCCAGTTTGAAGTCTCCAGACATTACCTTTTCAGAAGCTAAACCTGTACATAATTACTCTATACAGACCGGTGAGGAGTTTGCTCTTGAATTTATGCGTGATCGAGTCAACCCCAGAAAGGATATTCCAAATAACTCTGGGGATTCCAACCATGCACCTCGTTACATGGAGCTAAAAGGCATTAGTCATACTGGCTCCGAAAGTGGCTCGGATATCTCTATGGTTGCAACAACAGAAAAAGATTCAAGAGAATTTGCACAAAAGAATACATCTTTACATGTGGACAAGGCTAACGATGGTTCTTTACAATATATGCAATCAAATTACAACAGCCACCGCGTACTGTCATATACCTCATCTGGAGCATCAGACAGCTCATCAACAAAGCTTAAGATTCTATGCAGCTTTGGTGGAAGAATTCTGCCACGTCCAAGTGACTGTAAGCTGAGATATGTTGGTGGAGAAACACGCATAGTCCGGATAAGCAAGGATATTACATGGAGAGAGTTGTGGCAGAAAACAACTGCAATTTACGATGAAACAGCTGCTATAAAATATCAGCTTCCTGGGGAGGATCTTGATGCTTTAGTTTCCATATCGAGTGACGAAGATTTATTGAACATGATGGAGGAGTGTAATCTTCTGGAAGATGGAAAAGAATCAAAAAAGCTTCGCATGTTTCTTTTCTCTCCAGCAGATTTGGATGAAGCTCATTTCAGTCTGGCAAACCCTCATGGTGATTCAGAGATGAAATACGTAGTTGCTGTCAATGGCATGGACCTTGGATCTCGAAAAGGCTCTGCTTTATGTGGTTTAGCTAGCTCTTTCGGAAACAATCTAAATGAGTTGGACAGACTGAATGTTGATAGGGACACAAGTAGGATTGCCACTGGATTTGTTGGAGTTAGTAACTCAAACTTGGTTGGCTTTGTTGCACCGCCAACATTGATTGAGCCTTCTGCGGCAACTGTGTCAATTTCTTCCAAAGCTTATGAAACTGATATGCGGTTTTTTCATGGTCAGACTGTGCACAACGATCAAGAAAGGCATTATCCTTCACAATTTGGCTATAATTTTCACTCTCCCTACTATTCGCCTTCTGAAAGTGCTGTGCCACAATCTTCCTATGGACTTATTTCTGAACAGAAAGATCTTGAAGGGAAGTATGTGAATGCCTTGGGCCCTGTTTCTGAACCGAAAGGCCTTGAAGGAAAGCCTCTAAATAGCTCAGACACAGTGTTCACAGGACCGCAAGAAAAGGAGGCTAAGCTGAAAGTTGAAGACCTAATTCAAACAGAGAGTGAAGGTAAGCAAATGTTTGATAATGAGCATTTTGTTCCTTTGCAGGCACCCGGTGATAACACTAAAGTTAGTTTTCCTGTTGAAGAGTCATCGGTCATGGTGGTACCTAAACTAGATAGAGAATTTTCTTCGAAGGATTCAAATGGCAAAGGGAAACCTGAGGAACCTATGCAGGTACCTAAACCTCTCGATGCTGTTATGTCGTCTGGACTTCCCTCATCCAATGGCAATGAGTATTTTACTTCTGGTAATGACCCTGTTCCTGAATCCGTCTCAGAGTCTAACCCTACTGATTTGAGTTACTTTGAGTCTTCTATTCCCCCACAGAGAGTTTACCGTTCTGAATGGATTCCTCGAGAGCAGTTGGAGTTGCTTAGCAGAATATCGAAGTCAGATGATTCGCACAATTCTCAGTTTCTAGTTAATCAGTCACAAAATGATACTTCCCAGCATGAATTAGTTGCAGCATCTGTTGAAAACTTGCAACAGGGAAATGTGGATATTCCAGCCGAACAGTCAGTTTCTATTGAAAGGTCTTCCCATCAGGAACAGGAAACCTTTGATAATGGGCTTACTAGAACTCCAAAGTTGAAGCAGACAGACCCTCTTGAAGTTGGAGATTCCATGCATGAAAATTACGTTATTAAGGCAGAGACAGAACTAGTATTGAAGCTCCATAACAGAAGCCTCGAGGACAGTTCAGCTGTTAGCAATGAGGATTCAGTGAAATACCCTGAGGATTCTAGAATTCATTGTGTTGACGAGGTTGGCAGTCAGTCAATTGCTAACGATGGCTATGGGCTTCCTCAATCTTCAACATGGATAGGGACTCGAGAAGAACCCAATGTCGATGCTCCCAAAACCAAGCAGGCAGACATTCTTATTGATATCAATGACCGGTTCCCCCGTGATCTTCTTTCTGACATATTCTCAAGAGCTGTTCTTTCTGATGGTTCATCTGATTTTGGTCCATCACTACAGAATGATGGAGCTGGTTTGAGTGTGAACATTGAGAATCACGATCCTAAACACTGGTCCTTCTTTCAGAAACTGGCAGGGGACCAGTTCACGAGAAGGGATGTTTCTCTTATTGATCAAGACCATGTTATGTTTTCTCCAGGACTTACAAAGGTCGAAGAGGAGGCTCCTTTAGCGTATGACTTTGTACCACTGACTAGAGATGGAATTCTTCCAAACAGGGGAGTGCAGGAGAAATATGGTGAAGATGGTCAGAAAGATGGAGCTGTTTCTACAGCTATTCATTCTGATTATAACGTATCACGTATGAACGTCAGTGAAGGCATGCAATACGATGATTTGATTGATAATAGAATTCGTGACTCAGAATACGAGGTAGCTTCTTTTATTTTATTTTGTTAATAATTTTTTTTGGCCCCGAATTTTCGAAATTTACGAGTCATTTACTGAACATAAATGCTTTACATATAATGTTTATTAATCTTATATTCTAGGACGGATTTGGAATTGTTGGCTTACCTCTTCTAGATCCTTCTTTGGTGGATTTTGATATCAGCTCATTGCAGGTTTGTGCCATTATTTGCACTTTTGTAATTCCTGTTTTGATATTTACTTTGCCCATCTATTAAAACGACATTTACATTCTGTTGTAAGTTGACTCTATGACATAATGAACATCTGTTATTTATTTGTGCATTTTTCAAAATGATTTGGTCACAAGAAATTGGTTACTAGTTGCAAATGATTATATCATATCAGAACCACCAATTATTAATTTTCACTGTTTGGTGCCTTTGCAGATCATAAAAAATGCGGATCTCGAGGAACTGAGGGAGCTTGGTTCTGGCACATTTGGTACTGTATACCATGGAAAATGGAGAGGCTCAGACGTGGCAATCAAGCGTATAAAGAAGAGTTGCTTTACTGGTCGCCAATCTGAGCAAGAGAGACTGGTAACTCATTGCTTTTTGTTTTCCCTCTCTATATAGTGTCCAACTGTTATATATTCTTGTTTCATGTTGTTATTACATACACCATTTCCACTTTCACACTTTCAGACAATTGAGTTTTGGAGGGAAGCTGAAATTCTATCAAAGCTGCACCATCCAAACGTGGTTGCATTTTACGGTGTGGTACAAGATGGACCAGGCGGAACATTGGCCACTGTGACAGAGTACATGGTTGATGGTTCTTTAAGACATGTTCTAGTTCGAAAGGATAGGTATACTGCTCTTACATGGGGTTTGGTAGACATTGTTTTTTGCTCCACATGATTAAGCAATTGTGGAACCGGCTCAGAATCGCTGTCTTGAATTAATTTTTTCCTTTCGTTTTTTTATTTTCTGTTCACAGTAATCTCATTTTCTGTTTAATGCAAATTTGCAGGAATCTTGATCGCCGAAAGAGACTCATGATTGCCATGGATGCAGCTTTTGGAATGGAATATCTGCATTCAAAGAATATAGTGCACTTTGATCTCAAATGCGACAATTTGCTGGTTAACTTAAAAGATCCATCAAGACCTATATGCAAGGTTGCGTCGATGTGAAATTCCCTTTCTATTTAAATTTATATGTCTGAAATTATATTAATTATTACCATTTAATTCTGATTTTTCCCATGCAATGTATCCAGGTAGGGGATTTTGGTTTATCGAAAATAAAACGAAACACCTTGGTTTCCGGTGGAGTTCGAGGAACTCTTCCATGGATGGCTCCAGAGCTTCTAAACGGAAGTAGCAATAAAGTTTCCGAGAAGGTCAGACCAGAACAGATACAAAGTGTAGCTTAGTAAAATTGAATTTAAAGAGAATCTGACATTGAATTTACTGCTTTGAATTTCAAGATTCTTTTAAGATTTTTATTCTTTAAAGCACAATCTTAATTCTCGAGAATAGTTGAGGACTTATAACTAATGACTCGTTCGTCTGACAGGTCGATGTTTTTTCATTCGGTATTGTCTTGTGGGAGATACTCACCGGGGAGGAGCCTTACGCCAACATGCATTACGGTGCAATCATAGGTCTGTAATTCTCGCTCGTTTATTTTTGGTAATAAAAGTAAAAAATCCGGTTTATCATGTGTTGCTTATTACAATTGATGGTTGTGTCCCAGTTAAATTATCTTTTCGCAAAATATCTGCATCTATGTTAATTTAGAACCCGTAAACTAAGAATCTCTTATAAACTAAACGGGAACACCATGCCTGGACAAATACGTATACGCTTTTAGTATTCTTAAGTTTGATCTGTTTTTTTTTTAATAACGTGTATAGGTGGCATTGTGAACAACACATTGAGGCCAACGATTCCGAGCTATTGTGATTCGGAATGGAGAATATTAATGGAGCAGTGCTGGGCGCCTAATCCTGCATTAAGGCCTTCGTTTACCGAGATAACTAATCGACTGCGTGTAATGACTACTCCCTCACCCCAGACGAGAAAGACGGGTTCGTAGTTAATTAACTAAATATGGTTCGATAAATTAGTCTTCTTTTACTAATTAAATTATACCAATAGATTTGTTCATTTAATTGGAAAAAAATGGTCTGTTTAACGTAGTTATATTTGAATATTTGTATACATAAATATTTGATTATTATGATAGTGTTAACTTATATTAACTCAATGATTATTAATAATAATAATAAACAGAAATAATTTAATATTTAAATGCTAATTATGCATTTGCCACGCCGATGCAAACATTATAGGCCTCCCTTTCCACCCAAGCTGAAGGCACCCCTTTTCACCAGCCACCGTATATCCACTGCCGCCGCACGCCGCCACCATCGCCTCCACTTCATCCAAACACTTCAACCCCACAACCTGAAACCCGCCGCGGCCGAGCTGCCGCCGCCACTGATCCGCCCTCTCGTGCCGCTCGAACCTATCGCTCCCTTCGTACGCCACAACATTCTGAATCTCATCCGCAAAGTGGGCCCGCTCGATCTTCCTCCTCCGCTCGCAACTCCTCGGCAGCGTGGCTTCGAGTGAGTCGAAAACCGCCGAATAATAGTGAAGCGACTCCAAGAATCTGCCGAGGAAGAACGGCCCGTTGTGGTTTGCATCCTGCTCGACGACAGTCAACAAGGTCGGTTTCAATTTCTTGATGGCTTGAAGAATATTCTTCAACGACCCTCGACTCTCCCCCACATGTTTGTGCAAATGCATTATACTATTCACAAACAACGCCTCTTCTTCTCCGGCGTAGAGTTTTTCTCTGGTTAACGACAGTGGAGAAACTTGCTCATGCACCAAATGGTATTCGACGAAAGTCCCAAGAGAGACGGCTTCTTCGCATAAGCTCTTTAAGCTACACTCAAGCTCCAATAACAGTTTTTGATTATTATTATCACGCCCTACAATACCCGTGAGTCGGATTATTTTCGGTGGGCCTTCTTTCCGAAATGCCAATTTTCTCACAAGCATAGGCCATTGAAAATTATGCTCCATTCCTAGGTCTACTATATGCAACGAGCTTTTCCCACTCGCCGCTCGAAATATAGCATCGTTTGCCGCCGCGTAACCGAACGCAATATAAGGGGTTGTTTGGTGAAGCAAATAAAAAGCTTCACTTTTTTCCTCAGTGATTAAGGGCAAATCAAGATTAGCCCTATTATTAGTAGTATTGAATGATCCATTAGGGTTTATACTATGCAGAAGAGATAGCCTAGATTTTAGTCCCACTGCAAAGCAATGAGAAACTCTCTGCATGGAATCTCCAAAAGCGCTGACACGTGGCCATATTTGGGCTAGGATTGAGTTGGCTAAGTTACCATCTCGGCAGCCTATGGCCTCGGCGCATGCTAGTAGCAAATGCACCAAGTGGAGTCCTTGATCGACTCCGATCGTGATCGAGCAATCTGCACCGTCGGATCGGTCCAACTCTTCAACATCGATCATCAGATCATCGTCTTCTTCATCTAATTGAAAGTGATGATAAAAGGGCTCGTTTATTAATGTTTCTTCTTGATCACGATCTTGATCTTGCGAGAAGTAGTTGAGGGCGTTATTGTCTTTTTCGTAGCATTCGACGTTGAAGAAGGTGTCGAAGATTTCGTCTATATCGAACTGGGGTGGTGGCTGAGGAGCTTCACTTCCAAAATAACGCGGCCATGTGATCTCGAAATTGTTTTCTTGTTCTTCTTGCGCCACACGGGCCGGGCAGAATTGCCGGATGGCGTGATCCGATTGGTCGAAATTCTCGAATGTGGGAAGGTTGATCCATCCATTGCTTATCATGGATTCCTCCATTGATGAATGAATGAATGACTGATGTGATTTTCTTGGTTTTGATTTGAATTTATTTTGTTGGATTGTTTGGTGAAAAGTTGGTTGTAAGAGTGTATATATATAAAAAATATATATATATATAAGTTTGCCGGCTTATTGATATATAAAAAAATAAATGAAGGTAATTAATTGGTCTATGAGGAATTTTTACAGAAATCATTACATAAATAAAAGTAATGAGTTTTGATGTTGTTTGTCTCCAATGTCACAATTATCTAGGGTCGGCCAACAATCAATGAGACAATGTTAGTTGGCCTATGCTTCTTAAGACAACCAATACTATATACTATAAAACTTGTCCAAGAATCTAAACCCAATGAAAATGTACACCGCGTAAAAGATCTATCGTTTATCTATACGCATCAGCAGAAATATATTCGATGTACTTCACTTGATGTAGCATGTAATAAACCTGCTATTTAACGTACCAATAGTCGTATGCAAAAAATCAATAACTTACCAAACTTTTTGAATTTCATCCCAATGAAATGTACAACTTGTAAACATCTGTCGTATTATCTATACGCATGAGCAAAAAAATGTGCGTTTTTCTATGTAGATGAATAGTGATGATGTACTCGATGTAACATGTAATAAACCTGCCATTTATTATATCCAATAGTTGTATGCATAAATCGATAACTCACCAAACTCTTTGAATTTCTTTTCTTCGTTGCTAGCTAGCTAACAAGAGTTTTCAGCAAAGAAAATGACAACATTTGTTGAACTAATTAATCAATTGTTTTAACCAACAAAATCATCAAGTGAGAGGAAATCTAAAGTAGTTAGTTCAACTAATTGAAAAGTGATTCCATTTTCTTTGTTAAGGCCCCCAAAAATAAAATAAAAAAATACTCTTGGCATAAAACATCAAATTAGAAATCAAATCATTTTCATGAGTGTTCTTATTTCTTAGAGCCCCTTTGGCTAATCTTATCTAAACATCTGATAAGCTGTTTCGAGAGTTGATAAACTCTTACATCTTATTTTGATAATCAATTTTTAAAGTATTTAGATATGAACTTATAAGCTATTTATATGTACATTTTAATAAAAATCTTAAAAGTTCTCCACCGGCTTATCTTTAAAATTTTAAATCCTTCAGAAAATATTACCATTTTTTAGAAAAAAACTTATAAGCTCTTTTTAAAAGCACTTATAAGCTTAGCCAATCACTCTCTCAATTACTTGGCGGGCTTTAATGGTGCTTATTACTTGGTAGTTGGGCTCTGCTTTTAATTTTAGGAAGTTATCCAAAAAAAAAAAAAATTAAAAAACTGGATTTCGATTTGATTTCCAGAACCATTCACAAATTCATATAATCAAGTAGTAGTTATGGAATCTCCATTCAAAGCCGATGCATTGAAAGGGAAAGTAGCTCTGCTCACTGGTGGCGGGTCGGGTATCGGATTCGAGATTTCGACCCAATTCGGCAACCATGGCGCCTCCATTGCTATCATGGGCCGCCGGAAGAATGTCCTCGACGACGCCGTTTCATCCCTCCGATCCCTCGGCATCCCCGTAATCATCTCTCTCTCTCCCCAATCTTCGAAAAATTAATTAGATTGTAAATTTATAACTGTCTATGAATTATGAATCAGCGAACCGATTTGATTTTTTTTTGTTACTTGTATGCAAATTGAAACCCTAATCCCTGATTTTTGGAACCCTAGTATACTACATAAAAGGCTTGCAATTGATTCTGAGTGTCTGAGTAGTTTGATTTCATTTTTCAGCTCTAATTGCAATTAATTATGTACTGGAATTATAGAATATTTTAGTAGTTTTTATTCTTCTTCTCTGCAATTTTTTGGTTTTTTTTCTCAGGCTGTCGGTTTTGAAGGGGATGTTCGTAAAAAAGAAGATGCACAGAGAGTTGTCGAAGCAACAGTGAAGCATTTCGGAAAGCTCGACATTCTTGTCAACGGTGCTGCTGGCAATTTTCTTGTTTCGGCTGAGGATCTTTCTCCTAATGGTTTTAAGACAGGTTTGTCTATAGCTTCTGCCGAATTTGTTTGATTAGAATTTGTCGAGAATTGGCTTATTCTTGGTCTGTGAATATGTGGTGTAGCTACAATTTTTTTTTTTTTTTGTTGAAATTTGTTATTTGAAATTGTAAATGTCGTTTTAATTTTACTGGAACCGTAATTTAAAGATTATGCATAACTTTTTTGTCGAAACACCAAATTAGTTGATTCAAGTTGGATTACAAAGCCAACCTTAAGTACTACAAAGTTGGTGCTTTGAGTTTTTGCCAAATTCGAAGTGAAAAGGGTCAAAATCACATTTGAAGTCAGATCGGTACCAATAAAATTGAAATGATATTTAGCACCTCTAATTATATATACTGATAAAAGAAATCTGCTGTCAGCATCTTTCTCCAATGTTTTTTTTACGATTTTATGGTTTCTAGTATGGTTATCTCGAACACGAAAAAACACGAGACTTGTGGATAGTTGATTTTTGCATCTTCAATACTATTTTGCCCAAGAATCACTCATTTAAATGTACAACATTGTTAATTGTTATTTACTTTCTGCAGTGATGGATATTGATTCGGTTGGCACATTCACTATGTGTCACGAAGCTCTTCCGTACCTTAAAAAAGGTGGGCCCGGCAGAACCTCGTCTAGTGGGGGGTTTATACTAAATATAAGTGCAACTCTGCATTACACAGCATCATGGTACCAAATCCATGTATCTGCAGCCAAGGTTTGTAAAAAATGTTGACGCTTGTCATAAAAAAAAAAATACTTCGAAATTTTCTTGAAAATATAGAAAATATTTGTGGCCAATATTACCGCTTTCCCTTCAGGCAGCTGTTGATGCTACGACAAGAAATTTAGCACTGGAATGGGGTACGGATTACGATATTAGGGTAAACGGGATTGCACCGGGTCCCATTGGAGACACACCTGGCATGAGTAAACTTGTGCCCGAAGAAATAAATAACAATGTGAGAGAAGATATGCCTCTCTATAAACTGGGAACTAGGTGGGATATTGCAATGGCTGCTGTCTACCTTGCCTCGGATGCTGGTTCGTTTTCTTGAAATTGCTCATATTTTTTTTTTCGTTCTAATCTATAATAATCTTTTTTTTAGGCTTTCTTGGAGGTAAAACAGGGAAATTTCAATTTTTTTTTCCTTTGAAATAAATGGTTCTAGCTTAATATTTTTGTCGTCAAAAAATTCTAGAATTGCCTTACAAGTTTATCGAAAGGTTAATCCCTGCAGTTCCAATGTATACAATTGCTGATTTTGAAATTGCCCGTATTTTTCTAATTTGTATTAACTTTCTTTAGGCTTTCTTGGAGGTAAAACAGGGGAATTACAGTTTTTTTTCTTTGAAATAAATGGTTCTAGCTTATTATTTTTGTCGTCGAAATTCTAGAATTGCCTTTCAACAAGTTTTATTCAAAGGTTAATTCCTGTTGTTCCAATGTATATATATCATATATGTTAGTTTTAGTTCTATTATGATTCTTATATTCTCTTTTCTTGATCATTTTTTTATATATATATTTATATATGTAAAGGTAAATACGTAAACGGGAGTATTCTGCCTGTGGATGGGGGACTTTGGCTGAGCAAACCTCGTCATCTGCCAAAAGATGCCGTTAAAAGATTCTCTCGATCTGTAGAGAATAGATCGAGGGCAAAACCAGACGGAGTTCCTACCAGCAAGCTCTAGTAGCAGCCTAATGTGATTGTATGGTAGTATTAATGTGATGCAGCTGAGAAATAAATCTCAGAAAATAAATTTAGATTTTTTAAAACAAAATAAACTAAATGTTCATATATTCAGTCAAATTTGTAATATTTTAAGTTGGAAATTCATGAAATTCAGATTTAATTTATGAACTTATTAATACTTTGAAATTTGATTCGAGATTGATTGTTAAAAGGTCGTTTCAGCTTTGTTCATTAACATAATGAATCAAATTTGAACACATATTTTCATTCCATAAGTTATGAAACTCAGCCTCGAGCTCGAATGAAAAATATGTGCAAATCAAGGTACTCGAGCTCGATTTGTGTTCAGTTACATTAAAGCCCCATCGAATTAGACTCAATCTTTTAACAAATCAAGCTCATAAACAACTTCAAAAACTTCGATAAAGGTTCAAACAAGTTTGAACAATCATAAGTTCGGCTCGATTTCATTCGTTACGTATATGGAATTGAAAAGAGGAGATCAACAAATAGAAAAAAAAAACTCCTTTGTTAAATACAAAGGCAAAAAGGGGAAATGTAACCACGAGACAAGTATGAAAAACATTAAAACAACCTCTTTAATAGTTCATTCAAGGGGTAATTTAGTAATAAACTTGAATTAGCAGGGGTTTGTGTTGCTAATATTTATAATACGAGGGGTATTTTAGCTATTTGGTATAACACGAGGGACTTAAATGCAATAAACTAATTTAAAAACACAGTGAACATGAAAAAAAAGGGGAAAAAAGACAAATGATGGATCATCTTCAACCTCAGCTCAACGATAAGAGCAATCCTCTCATATCTCATTCTCCACCACCACCACAAATTATATATTCATATTTCCCTATTTTTTTTCAAACCCTCACTCACAGTTGTTTGCCCCACCATTCCCACACACACAGAAAACACACATTCAGTGAGTGAGTGATTTCAGCAATGGCGTCCACAGCAGCTGCATCGTCGCCGGCCTTCTGTGGCATCCCCAAGGCCTCAACCGCCACCGCCGCCAGAGCCTCCCTGAAAACCCCCACCACTCGATTCCTATCGAAAACCCCAACCCGCGGCCTGGGTTTCGCCGCCGCCGCCGCCGACCCGCTCCTCTCCCGCCACGTGGCAGTCAAGATGGCGTCGCTCAAGAGGGGATCGTCCGCCGCCGTCAGAGGAGTGGCGTCGATGGTGAAGAAGAGCGTGGGTGACCTCACCGCCGCCGAGCTCAAGGGCAAAAGGGTCTTTGTTAGGGCTGATCTGAATGTACCCCTCGATGACAGCCAGAATATCACCGATGACACCAGGATCAGAGCCGCCATTCCAACCATCAAACACTTGATAAGCAATGGTGCTAAAGTCCTTCTCTCCAGTCACTTGGTTAGTGTTTAATTTCTTTTTAAATCTTTGAACAATTTCTACTAAATTTATTTATTCCGGCATTTGATTCAATCTTATTGCATTCTTCTTTTGTGGATTTGCTCATACCATTTGTTGTGGATTTAGTATTTGCAGCTTGTGATTGTTTGATTTTCAGTTCCGTTTTTTTTTTTTTTTTCGAGTATAACTTTTCTGTTCTTCGAAGTTTCTAATTTGTTGAAGTATGTTTAATTTATGAAGAATGCGATAACTGGGATTCGGTTAATCTTTGTAATTCGTTGTTCTATGAGCAATTATGAAATTTGGATGCGTTCGAATTAACCTTGATGCATTCGTCCTTTGTTGGTGTTTATCTTTTCATTTCGTGTTTGAATCTGATTTGATCATACCATTTTTCGTTATTCTTTTCTTCCGACTTTCCAGTTTGTTGAAGTGTGTTGGCTATAGGCTTTTTCATTTTAAATTTTTGTCTGATTTCTGAATTAATTTTTTCTTCGGTTTTCGTTTTTCAGGGTCGTCCAAAAGGTGTGACTCCAAAATACAGCCTCGCACCTCTCGTACCGAGGCTATCTGAACTGCTCGGAATCCAGGTAAAAATAAGAATAAAAAAAAATAAAATAAACATGTTTGCGTTAATGGTGAAAAAAGTATATAAGAAACATATAATTTGGACCGAGTACCTATTTATTTCTCTTACATTCACCAACACCGATTCAGGTTGTGAAAGCCGATGACTGCATTGGGCCAGATGTCGAAGCGTTAGTGGCTGCACTCCCCGAAGGTGGTGTTCTCTTGCTCGAGAATGTGAGGTTCTACAAAGAGGAGGAGAAGAATGATCCGGAATTCGCCCAAAAGCTCGCCTCATTGGCTGATCTGTATGTGAACGACGCGTTCGGAACTGCGCACAGGGCCCACGCATCTACTGAGGGTGTCACCAAATTCTTGAAGCCCTCCGTTGCTGGTTTCCTCTTACAAAAGGTTTGCTGAATTACGTTAAGGCTATGTTTGGATCCAACAAAAATGCGAAGTAAAAAGATGAAAAGAGCAAGTAAAAATACTAGAGATTTTCAAATTCTTTGTTTTCATTTGCTTCTGCAGTTTCATTTTCTTCATTTCAAAATCCCATGAACCAGACGGAGCCTAGACATTGCTGCTGAATAAAGCTGTTTAATTTCTTCCCTGTTGACCTTTGACTTCCATGTACCCCGTGCTTTATCAAACATAATTTCCATTCAATGCAAAATTGAAGTGAAGTAGGATAACATTGTGATATTTCCCTATCGTAGATTTACTTAACTCGAAAAATAACAAACATCTATACAAAATACCAGGCTTGATTTCTCGCCCGTTGACCTTTGACTTTCGTGCATCTTTTTATAGGAGCTAGATTATCTCGTTGGGGCAGTTTCAAACCCAAAGAAACCCTTTGCTGCGATTGTGGGTGGTTCGAAGGTGTCATCCAAGATTGGTGTAATCGAATCACTTTTAAGCTCATGTGATATATTGCTGTTGGGTGGAGGAATGATCTTCACTTTTTACAAAGCACAAGGCCTATCTGTGGGGTCGTCCCTCGTGGAAGAAGACAAGCTCGATCTTGCCACGTCACTCCTCGAGAAAGCTAAGGCTAAAGGTGTCAGTCTTTTGCTACCAACCGATGTCGTTATAGCCAACAAGTTTGCTCCGGATGCTGAGAGCAAGGTGCCCTGTTTTCTTGAATTTTAATTTGCTCCTTGTTATTATTACAAGATTTATTATTATTATTATTTTTTTTTCCGGGTTTTCCGTAAAAGGCCACTTTTAATGGAGTTGAGCTTTTGGGATGTTGTTAGATTGTGCCGGCGACTGAAATTCCAGATGGATGGATGGGATTGGACATTGGACCGGATTCGATTAAGACATTCAATGCTGCTTTGGACACTACAAAGACTGTTATTTGGAATGGACCAATGGGAGTCTTTGAGTTTGAGAAGTTTGCTGCCGGTACCGAGGTACATATTTCTTTCTTCCGGGTTAAATTTTGAACGGAAATTCCGATCCGAATTTTTCCGATTTTGGAACAATATTTTTCTTTCCAAATTCCAAAAGTTCCGATTTTCAAAATTTTCAAAATTCAATTCCGGAATGGAATTGGAATCAGAATACGTATCAGATTTCAGTTTCCGATCCAATTTCAATTTCCAAAAATAGTTTCACAAAATTCCTACCTTTTTTTCCCGAAAAAAATCCCGAATTCCGCTGATTCCGATCCGGAAATTTTTGATTTTGGAACGAGTTCTTTCATTACAGATTTCGAAAATCGGATTTCCCATTTCTTGAAATTGGAACGGAATTGGAATTAGTTTTCCACTTCCAATAAAAAAATTGATTTTTTTCTTTCCGAATATGCTAATTCCGATCCGATTTCCATATTTCTTACTATACCATTTCTCAATATATTTGTTAGCCATGCATTATTGTTCTATAAAAATTCGAATTGTGTACGAGAAAAAGAAGTACGAAAAAAAAGCATTGAAAAATGTGAATCTTTTAATTCAGGCAATTGCGAACAAACTAGCTGAACTTAGCGGAAAGGGGGTGACCACAATCATTGGTGGCGGAGATTCGGTTGCGGCGGTGGAGAAAGTAGGAGTGGCCAGTGTGATGAGCCACATATCAACCGGTGGTGGGGCCAGTTTGGAGCTCTTGGAAGGCAAAGAACTGCCAGGTGTCCTCGCCCTCGATGAAGCCATCCCTGTCGCCGTGTAAGGGCATAACCGTCATTTTACAATAAATTCTTTTGTAGCCGTGCTTTTTTCGTTCGGGTTTGTAAAGGAGAAAATGTATGAGTTCATGTTGTAGATGTTTTGGCTTTTGCCCTCAATATAATAAGCTCTCTTTTTTTCTCCCCCCCTTGTAATCCAATCAAGAAACAATTGAGGAGTGTGTTATTGGCTTATTGCCCCTGTGTTTTATCTAATTGTTAAAAAACCCTCCATGTTATTTTTTATTGGCAAAAAACCCCCTATCGATTCAATTCTTCTAGCAAACACCCCTCTAAAACTTAAGAGGGTTTTTTTGCAAATAAAATAACATGATGATTTTTTTTTTTTTTTTTTTAACAATTTGATCTAATATAAGGGTACTAAATGCAATAAACTATGATGCATTATGCATATGCCTCCAAATTGTGGTCCATTCCACCTTGTAAATGTTGTTATTTAATTGCAAAGTTGTTGACTTTATGCTTCTTGGTGGTGCCATTGTGTTTTGAGGTATATTAAGATGCCTAATGGTATATTCTATACAATATTGAGTGAGATATAGTACTTTTGGAAACAAATGTTTGGTTACTCCAATAATTTTTTGAGTCGACCGGCCACTAGCGGAATCAGGATTTTAAGTTCCTGATGGTCGAATGCATAAAATAAATTTATAGGGTATACCTTTAATACTAGTATACACGGATTTTTCTATATTCATACATCAAATAATAGGTACCTGAGAAATATTGGTTAATTGTTAGATTATTTATCTTTTAACAATATAATTGAAATTTCGTAAAAAAAAATAATATAATCTATATTTTCTAAGCTTAAAAAAAAATTTGAATAAAAATAAAAATTTAGGCCTTAATTGATTAATGGGTAAATTACAACCCACCCCTGAAGTATTGTAAAATTACGAAAACCCCCTCTTATTTGGATAATTACATCTACCCCTCAACTATGAATCTTCTTACACCTCCACCCTTAGGGTGTCAAATTCAACATAATCATCTAGATTCCATGGAATGTGCTCTAGTTTGTACTCGTTTTGCGTAAAAATACAGTTTCTGATGCACCACAATCTGATATATACAAGCTAAAAAACACATCTTATGATCATATTTTGTTTCAAAATGTGGAGCTCAAATAGGATCAAACGGGTACAAAAGTGATAATATTCCATATGATCAAGAAGATTCCACTAAATTTCAAACCGCAAGGGTGGACGTGTAAGAAAATTTATTATAGAGGAGTTGTTGTAATTACCCAAACATGAGGAGTGTTTTCGTAGTTTTATCATACCTCAGGGAATGGTTGTAATTTACCCTTGATTAATTGATTGTGTGGTCCTAATTTACACCTTTACTGTGTGCGCGCAAACCGGTCCGGTTTAACAAAACCGGGGCATAGTTTTCTCAGCCCCACGACCTATTCTGTAACATATAAAAACCCCTTCTAGATCCTTCCACTGCTTTTTCGCTACTGTCATCTCTTTAAACCCACAATCACCACCGATTCTCTGCAACCCAAACACACCTCCATTTCTCGATCAACAAAGTACAGATTGAATCAACCGTAAGCTCAATCGAATCTCATCTCATCTCATCTTCTTCCTTTTTCAGTAACTGCTGTTGGATTATTCTGATTTTTTTTTTGTTTTTTTGATCGATTTGTTTGTTTGTGATTTTGGCATTTTGAAACAGAAGAAAAATGGCGACGAAGAAGAGCGTCGGATCGTTGAAGGAAGCAGATCTGAAGGGGAAGAGAGTTTTCGTGAGAGTGGATCTGAACGTGCCGTTGGACGATAACTTCAACATCACCGACGATACCAGAATTAGGGCCGCCGTACCAACTATCAAGTACTTGATCGGAAACGCCGCTAAAGTTATCCTCTCCTCTCACCTCGTACGTATTCACCTCTTTTTTACCTAATGATAAAATCTCACAGTTCGATCTGAATTATTAATTCAATTTAATTGTCTGCATGCGTGATGTGTAATTCTCAATTTTAAAGTGTTGGCTGATTTTTGTTTAAGTAGGTTGTTGATCTGTTGTGGCTTGTTATGTATCGATAATTAACTGATTAGTCATTGATCTATGTAGTATGAACACTCGAATTATGAAACACTTCTTATTTTGTATGGGTAATTTGATGTTGGGACTAAATGTTGCTTTTTTATTTGGACTCTGGATCGATATGCTTTTTTTAATTTTATTTTTACATCTAGATGCTTATGATTTGGAGTAAAGTTAATTTGTGTAGTTTCGGATAAAATTGAAGTTAATAATGGTCTGATGATTTCCTTCTTGTTCTTCAATCCTATTGGAAAAAAAAGTGTTGGTTATAGTCTGAAATTCTCTAGGACGTCCACACATCAATGAATTAATTACTTTTTATAGATGCTTAATTTATAATTGTGATGGTGGTAATTCAACCGATATTTATATTTTTAACTTTGAAAGTGATGTAATAATTATTAATGTTGTCACAGGGGCGTCCGAAAGGCGTGACACCAAAGTACAGCTTAAAGCCGCTTGTGCCTAGACTATCCGAACTTCTTGGACTTGAGGTATGTATAACAAAGGATGTGGATTCATGCCCGATATGCTGTTTAATTTTCTAATGCTCTGTTTTATCTCGATTTTTAGGTCAAGATGGCTAATGATTGTATCGGTGAAGAAGTTGAGAAGTTGGTGGCTGGATTACCTGAGGGTGGTGTTATTCTGCTCGAGAATGTTAGGTTTTACAAAGAAGAGGAGAAGAACGAGCCAGAGTTTGCAAAGAAGCTTGCATCCCTCGCAGACTTGTACGTTAACGATGCCTTTGGAACTGCACATAGAGCTCATGCTTCAACCGAGGGTGTTGCCAAATACTTGAAGCCTTCTGTTGCTGGTTTCCTTATGCAGAAGTGTGAGTCTTTTTTTTTTTTTTTACAATTTTTGCAATGATCTTTTCGTTGATACAACTATGATAATTAGGGAAATAGTAATTCTTTTGTCATATCTTAAATTGTTGTGGATTTTCTCATCAAGTATTCTTGAGTGGGTTTTATTCGTTTCTTATCTTCATGTTCTTGCATATATAATCGAGCTTCTTTATTGTATTTTTCAGGAGCTGGATTATCTAGTTGGAGCTGTGTCCAATCCCAAGAAGCCATTTGCTGCCATTGTCGGTGGCTCAAAGGTTTCCAGCAAGATTGGTGTTATAGAGTCATTGTTAGAGAAGGTAGATGTACTTTTGCTCGGTGGAGGGATGATTTTCACCTTCTACAAAGCACAAGGACTTGCCGTGGGTTCGTCACTTGTGGAGGAAGACAAGCTTGATCTTGCTACTTCACTATTGGAGAAAGCCAAGGCAAAGGGTGTCTCTCTCTTACTTCCTTCTGATGTAGTCATCGCTGACAAGTTTTCTCCTGATGCTAACAGCAAAGTAAGTAGTTTCTTTTTTTGCCCGATGAATATAATTTTTTTTGTTGCATGTATTTGTTGCTTTGATTTAAGTTTAACTGCATTCCGATTTGTTGCATGTATTTGTTGCTTTGATTTAAGTTTAACTGCATTAAGGCCTCGTTTAGTTGGTATGAACCATCATTAATTAAATAATTAGGTCTTATTTGATGTTTGGTTAATGCATAAAAAAATGATCTTAGCTTATTTTGGATTGTTGCTCTCGCGAACTTTCTTTCCCAAATGAGGCCTAAAATGATTCTGCAATACTGTATTTCTCAAATTGTTTGTGGTTAACAAGAAATTAGATATAGCCCCACTTGTGATAATTTATGTCGGAAAAAATATTTTTGCTGATTAAATTTTTTTGTGGTAATCTTATTTTCTTCTAGATTGTACCAGCATCCGAAATTCCCGATGGCTGGATGGGACTAGATATCGGCCCAGATAGTATTAAAACATTCAGCGAAGCTTTGGACACTACCAAGACAATCATCTGGAACGGACCAATGGGTGTGTTTGAGTTCGAGAAGTTTGCAGCTGGAACAGAGGTACTTAACATAAGTAACACATTTTATCTTCCATGAAAGAAATTGTCAAATAGTTTTCAAAATGAATAATTTGGTGTAATTGTTGGTTTGTTAGGCTATTGCCAAGAAATTGGCTGAACTTGGTGACAAGGGTGTGACGACAATTATCGGAGGAGGTGATTCAGTTGCCGCTGTTGAGAAGGTTGGTCTGGCGGAGAAGATGAGCCATATTTCGACCGGAGGTGGTGCCAGCTTGGAACTTCTCGAAGGGAAACCACTTCCGGGAGTTCTTGCCCTTAATGATGCTTGAGCAAAGTCTAAATGATTGCTTAAGCAAATGTTAATTGTTGCTTTAAGCGAACTGTTGCTTCTATGGCTCATTTTTTGCCTGTTTTTCGCAGTTGTGTTTTTAGTCTCGTTTTTTACCGGGGTGTATTGCGTAATAGAACTGGGTTTTGTAGAGTGGTGGATCAAATATTCAATAAGCGCTACTACCGTGACTTTTGAATGGCAATAATAAATTCTCCATTTTGTTTATCGATATGTTTGATTGCTGTTTGGAGTTTTTCGGATATGATATTTGTTGTGCGTGAGAATTGCTCCATGATCGTGAGGACATGTTTCTTACATTTTAGAGGCTTATGTATCTCGTCTCGACTACTATGAACACTCATTTTATTTTACATATTCGGAATGGTAGAAATTAGTGAAATAGAAAGATCGACACAATCCGATACAATACGAGTTCCATAGAATAAATGTCCCATTTGGCTGTCAAGATAAACTGATCTAATGAAATTCGTCCAACATAAAAGCTTCCCAAAAATCAAGATAAAATAAGATAATGAAATACGTCCAACGTAAAAGCTTCCCAAAATCAAGATAAAATAAGATAAACTATGATAGCGGCGTGTCACGGACTTGTTCCCTTAACAAAGAACCGTGCGGCCTTAGCTCCTTCTCGCCCCTCGCGATAGCTAAGTCAGCCTCTCCCGAATTGTGTTGCGAATACTAAGTGATGGAAGAACGAAAGAAGAACTTAAGAAGACAAGAGAGTAAGAAGGTACTTTAGTACTCGTTGGATTTATTGAATTTGTTGGATTTGTTGGATGATTACAAATGAGGACCCTACCTCTATTTATACAAGACCACCTCCTCAATGGACGGTGGAGATCGATATGATCTAACGGTTGGGAGTGAAACAATCCCTTAAATGTCTCTACCTACCACCACCTACCTCTACCTACCAAAGAATCCCTAAAATTTCTCTACATACCACTATACAATTGGGCCAACTTGGGCCTAACCCTATTTGGGCTAAGTCTTGGACTCTTTAACCTCCCCAACCCAAGGGAAATCGGCAAGGGGTTGGGTCAAAACTAGCGGGCCGTGACATCCTCCCCCGCCTAATCCGGCGACATCCTCGTTGCCTCGAACAAGTGGAGACGATCTTGAAGTCGCCACAAGTTTTCCTTCGTCTCCCACGTTGCCTCGGACTCGGGTAATCCCTTCCATGAGGCTCCAGTAACCCTAACCTATAGCAACTTTGAGTGGAGAAGAATGTTGTACATTTTTTCCAGCAAAAAAAAAAAGAAAAAATAAAAAAATAAATAATTTCCAGAAAAAAAAAAGAAAAATAAATAAATAAAACCGTGAATGAAAAACCTATAGCAACTTTGAGTGGAGAAGAATGTTGAAAGAAAAAATAAAAAAATAAATAATTTCCAGAAAAAAAAAAAAAGAAAAAAAAATAAATAAAACCGTGAATGAAAAACCTATAGCAACTTTGAGTGGAGAAGAATGTTGTACATTTTTTCCAGCAAAAAAAAAATAAAAAAATGAAGAATGTTGTACATTTTTTCCAGCAAAAAAGAAAAAAAAAAAAAAATGAAATCGATCGCGATGGGACTCGAACCCACAATCTCCCGCTCCGGAGGCGAGCGCCTTATCCATTAGGCCACGCGATCCTTGTTGTTGTTTGTCTACCACAAACCATATAATAACGTAACTAGAAATCTTTTCTTTTTAAATTTTGCTATAATATATTGTTTAATACCATTTTTTTGTAACACAACAATAGAGATAATTATTTAATATAATTTAATTGTGAAGTTATCAAAAGTTAGAGATAATATTGCTCCTTGCTAGGGATGAAAATCAAACGAATCACTTCATATTAACACTTTTGAAATAAATTTCTACCTTTTCGGAAGTGAAAAAATAATATCATGTTATCAACCCCATTCCACCATATCAGAACTTTGGAAATTGAAAAAAAACTATTTTTTTTATTTCACATATAAAAGCGCAAAATCATTTTCAATAATATTATTTTTCTTAAGTTTTGTTGTTTTAATTTTTTTTAATAACAATAAACACACAATTTTATGAGTTTAAATTGAATATTTAGTAAATTTTAAGCTTTAACGGAGGTATCTATAATGTTTTAAAATGTGAGGGGTCGATATATAATTAAATCTAATCTCAAATTGACGACAATATAATTCACTCAATATTTGGTCAAAGCTAAAAATAAAATTTCAAAACAATCGGCCGTAAAATGGGTCAAGTGATAGCTAATATCAGACGAATATATGCACAATTTTCAAAATGAGAGGGTTCTATATGCAATTACACCTAACTTCAAGGGATATAGGTGTAATTACCCTATATATTTTTTTAAAAATATGTCTAGTAATATATATTTTAACACAACATTAGAGATATTTATTGAATAGGATCAATTCTATGGCTATCACAATAAAGTTAATTTACATCTTATATCCAATAGTCAGTTTATCGTTTATTTACACACACCAATGACTGCTCGTAGTAGTAAGTCGTAAGTAGGAACAAAGATAACATAAAACTAAAACTAAAAATAGCCAAACAAATGAGTAACATAAATTTGAGATAGTAGAGAAACTACAACTACAAAATTGCTAGTGGTTGTTTGGAACAATTGCATTGCACAAAAAAAAAACATAGTAAGAATAAAATCAAAATCAAAAAAAAAAAAAAAAAAAAAAACCCGATCGAGTGTATCTAGACGGAAAATCCCACTCCACGCCGGGAAACTCCGCATGCGGTAACATGCCACGTCGTCGAAGAACTTCAAGAAGAAGAAGCATGGTTGTTCTTGATCTTGTATCTATAAAAAACACGCTTCTTCTTGAATATACTATTCTCGATGGTGATCACAACTTTTCCGGGTTCTTTATTCGCAAATGTGTTACGAATAGATTCGTGTTGCCAACTTATTTTCCTTCCCTTCTTCACTATCACCGTATACGAACCTTCGTCGGTCGGCACAAATTCCTCCTTGTAGTTCACATCCCACCCTACTATTGTCAAATCCCACATCAAACTATTTCCCACCTGTTTATATTTAAAAAAAAATGTATATATTAGCTTTAAATAATTCATATAATTTAAGTACACGTGGAAGTGTGTACGTGAGTTCAGTGTGTGTATATGAGCGATAAAGATTACCTCTGGTGCAGGGATTTCTATGTTTTCAGTTGTTCCGGCCTTAACGTTGACCTCGGAAGCGGCGTCTTGTGTCGAGAAATCAGGATCGTTTTCTCTTTGTAGTCCTCCGTATATAATAGGTATTTCCTCTGCAGCAATGTATCTGCATTGTGCGATGTCGTAAAGTTTTAATTGTGCTTAACGTTCAAGGACAATTTGGTCATTTGTAGGAGTGGCAATTTCGTAATTTGATGACATGTTTTTATGATTAGTTTTTCGACAAGAAAAGAAATTCGAAGGGCGAAATCGATAAAATAGAAATTAAACGAGAGGAATTCGCTTACTTGAGAAGTGTTTCGGTGACTCTAGAAGGTCTACTAAACACGAATTTGCTCTTTGTCCTTTGCGTCAAAAAGGGCGACAAAATCGCGTTGAAAGCGTAGTACCAAAACGGAACATTGATGAAGATCTGAAAATGGAAAAAAAAAAACAAAGTGTAGGAGATATTAAATATTAAATTATTCATTTCACTATCAGCTTATGCTCTAGATAAGAAAAAAAAAAAAGCAACTTACGTTTCTCGAAACAAATTCGGGATAATTGTCCTGAAGAATGCCGACGGCTCGTTTGGTCGCGAGCCTAAGATCCCTTCTAGAAGGTCCCGGAGCGTTCTTGAGATCATTAATTTGGAGCAACTTCGATACTCCACCGTGCCTAAAATCGAGCTTTCGAATCTCCTTCTCGAGCAATTGGAGCCTCCACCTAAGAAACTTCTCCCGACTCGCCTCCGTTCCAAACGTCTTATTGTACGTCGCCTCGTCATCGAAAACACCGTAAACATTATAACAAACGGGGTGTCCTTCTCGATCCAACCCCTTCATGTACCCGACGGTGTCGTAGAAGCTTTCGGAAAGTTCTTCTTCCGTGATGGAATCGATCTTGTTCTCCTTCCTCCACTCGAGCGTGTTCCTTAACATCTCGAAGGCGTCGTTCGGCTTGAAATCTCTCGCCACCAAGAACTTGAATAGGAGAATGTCGGTCGCCGAGTCACCCTTGCTCGGCAATAGCGGGACCCCCCAAAGAGCGATGTCTTTATCTACTTCTTCGTCGGCTTTGTCATCTTTTTCCGTCACTATCATTTTATCCTTCCCCTTGTCGGCGACGATATCTTGTTTTTCGTTTTCATCGGTAATTTTGTCGGATGATTCTTCTTCGATCTTCTCTTCGTTGTTCTTCGCCTTTTTGAATAATTTGTGTGTCAAAATGGCTTCTTCGAGTTTCGATTTCAGATCTAATAATGCCCTTTTCTCGTACTCTTTTAGATCGGCGACAAACGCATTTTCGTCGCTGATTAAGGACAAATCTCTATCTTTTGCATTGGTTGGTGAGGAAGAAGAAGAAGACTCACCCTTCTCGATTTTTGTCGCAATTTCATTTCCATTTTCATTAGATAAACACTTATCTATTTTCTCACTCTCCTTCACATTTTCCTTCCCATTTTCGACGGAATTTTCCTTGTTGGAGATTGGTAAACTTACATTAGTCGTTTTCGCATTTTCGTCGTGTTTTGCATTTTCGACGCCATTTTCCTTGTCGGAGATTGGTAAACTTACATTCGTCGTTTTTGCATTTTCGTCATCTTTCGCATTTTTGTCGTCTTTTGCATTTTCGTCGTGTTTTGCAACGCCATTTTCCTTGTCGGAGATTGGTAAACTTACATTCGCCGTTTTTGCATTTTCGCCGTCTTTTGCATGTTTGATGTGATCTCCATTTGCTTCGGCGGCGACTTTAGCATCTTCCGTTTTCGAAACAATCTCTTCTTTCTCGACATTTTCGGACATGTTCTTCTTCACGACCTCTGTCTCATCTTTTTTTTCATTAACATCCATTGTTTTTTGTAAGGTTTCTTCTCTGCAAAATCAATTAGCCAAGAAATGCAAGTACAAACACAAACTGAAAATAGAAACTGAAAACTTCTCAATGTAATAATATTAAAACTCTCTCTCTCTCTCTCTCTTGGATTAGTAGTATTACAGTGTGAGATAAACCGCAGTAGTAGACATGAAACGGTTACTGTACGAGGTTTTATTGGCAAATTGTTTGTCTAACGGTAATAAACGGAAAACTAACAGCATTAGCAGTTGTGATCCAACTCTCCGTCCAAATCTGACGGTTGGAAAATTCTGTGTGGCCAATACCAGCCATTGAATTATTCAAATAACTCCTCAATTTTTTTTATTTTATTAAAAAAAAAAAAAAAAACCAGCCACTGAAAATTCATTGCTAGAGTAAATAACGGTTTTATAAGATTAAAAATAATTGAATGTTCAACAATTTCAATTTCCATCATGTAATACAACATTTTACACTCGTCTACATGTGTGTGTGTGTGTGTGTGTAAATTATAGTAGTGATATTAAATCATCGAATAAATTTGGATACTTTAATGAAAAAGAAATTCATGTCTTATAAATTTGAATTGATGTCTTATACCGAGTTAAAATAATGGGTTTGAATGTGCGGCGCAACTTTTTTTTTTTATTAAGGTGGCAAAGTGCAAATACGGGGAAAAATTCAGTTGGCAAAATACTATTAACACTAATATATAAACCAATTGTTTTAATCAATTTAAGGCACAATACTCTATGTCATTTGAGAAAGTATTGCATTCAATCCAAATTATTTATTTAATACAAACAATTAAGAGAAGAAAAAAAAAGTGCAAATCTCCCAGTTTAAGCAGCTGGAATACAACTCCACTAATCCCAATACACTTTTCCGGCACCACCACCACTAGCGGCTCTTCCACCGCTCGTCCACTCTTCCTCGTCTCTCATCCATTCAAACCAAACGAACATTCATCCAAGCTTATCACCTATTTGCCAAACATTCATTCACTCGCAGAAAGAAAGAACCAAAAAAAAAAAAAAGAACGTAGAAGAGAAAATGCGATATATTTTGAACGAATTGCACCAACGAAAGTAGTCCAGGATTTAAGTTTTTATGCAACTTTTTACATTCTCTATTTTTTCGTCATAATCAACTGGCTAACAAGGCCGAATCTCGAAATGTATGTCTGTGTGTGTATGTATATATCCTATACATACACACTAAAAGCATAAACTTACATATCTAATCTTTAGAAGAGGCGACAGGTGTATCGGGATTTGCTCCCCATTCTGTCCAAGATCCATCATATACCGGAACGTTCGTCTTCCCCAATCGGTGAAGACCCTGAAGAAAAAACGAATTTTTAGTCAATAATTAAAAATCATGAGAAAAAAAGAATAATAAAAAGACTAGGTTTTTATGTGCTGACCAATGCGAGAATGCAAGCAGTTACACCGGTACCACACGAAGTTACGACAGGGGTGTCTAACGAGATTCCTGCATTAGATCACATGTTCATTAACCAAATTCTTTATATATATATATATATATATATTGAGAAAATTAGAATTTAGAACAGTATTTATTTCTAACCCTCTTGTTCGAATTTCTTCTTGAGCTCATCTGCAGGTAAGAGTGTCTGTGATCCATCCAACATCTGCAAGAAAGTAACAGAAAACTTTATTTCAAAAAAAAAATAATAATAATAAGAATAAAAAATGAAAAAAAATTGATATATATTTAAAATAACAATAATAATAATAATTAGTCTTGTACCTGGGGAAAGGGGATACACTTGCTTCCAGGAACACTGCCACTTCTTATTCCCTTTCGAGGCTCCGGTGCAACTCCGTCAAATCTTAAAAAATAATAAAAAGGAAAAAAATCGATTGGTTGAGATATAAGTATGGGACGAAGAAATTTATCTTATTGTACAAGCTAATGCCCGTACAACGTTCGAGTTGATCACTTTTTTCGACTTTTGTGTAGGTTAAATAATTCAGAAGTGATTACAATTTATGAAGGTGTTAAATCATAAGCAATAATTTTAAAAATGTTATACCTAGCTTTCGAGCGAGCATCTACGTGCTGATGTGTTTGCTCGTCAATGTTTTTTCGAACCTGAAAAATAACAAACATAACTTGTAACCATAATATTTACACAAAGACAAGATCATACAGAAACGTCATAATTGCTTAAGTTTTACGAATCAAGTGTTTATTTTTCTTAACATTTCCTTAGCATATGAAATTTCATAACAAGAAGCTCGTGAATAGCTATTTCGCAGCTACATATTAAACAATCGAACTCCAAATAAATTTAAATTTTAAAAATAAAAGACCTGTTCAAGTGACCAGACAAGATGTGGCTGAAAATAGGTTTCGAATGTAATCGGCCCAACCTGCAAATAATCATCGAGGGATTATTATTATTATTATTCGATTTTTTAATAATAATAATAATAATAATAATAATATGTAAAAACAATCGAGAAGAAGAAGGCTTTGCAACACACAAAACTAACCCGTTGCCCTTTGTAAACTTTCTCGATCGCCTCGCTGGCAGCACTAGCTTTCAAGATAGCGTCACTCGACGCGCTCGATTCAACATCGAATCCTGAGGCGCGCCACCTAGGTAGGCCTCCGTCCAAAACCCAAATCCTCTGGTGCCCGAATACTCGAAACATCCTGTTTCGTTTTAGTCACTAACAGTTAGTTAAATTATTACAACCTATGACTAAATAAAAAAAAAGCGTCTCAATTAAATGAATACTGCATTGTATTATTGCTCACCACCAAACACGAGCAGCACTGAAAATTCCCTTCCCATCGTAAACAACTAGCCCGTCTTTATTCTCTATGCCGAGTGCAGAAACAGCTGCAGCAAACGCTTCTTCGGATGGCAACATGTGTGGCAACTATGCACACAACATTTAGGAATAATGGTTATTTATATTTATTGAATGCAACAAAAAGAAAAATAATAAATATTTGGAACAATAATAAATATTCCAAAGCGACAAACATTTTGCGACGGAGGGAGTATACTATCTAAAAGATTCGAACTTTCCTTCTTGACACCAATATGAAAATAATAATAGGATATAACGGAGCAGAAATAGTATACTAGGCTTCGATTTTTCTTAAAAGGTCAACTGTACAAGGATATAGCATCTTACATTAGTAGTTCGATCTGATACACCATCAACATCAAAGAAAAGAGCACCTGGAATATGTGCAACCTGTTCAAAACAATCGAAAATCTCAGAAACAGAAACCCGATAGACCTTAAATACCAAAAACACCTGAAATTTGAAATTAGGGTTAATATAGGATTACGTAAAGTCGTTCTTCACCTGATATTCTTGAAGTGGATTCCTCTTTTCGTCTGGCATGTACCAAGATGCATCAAGCACCTGAGATAAATATCGAATGCCGAGATATGTAACATTACATTATAATCCGAGTTCAAATTAACACTGGGACGTAATCGTAATTATTCAGAAGAGTTAAGTCACAAAAGCAAACCTTCACATCGGGCTCTCGAAGATTGGCATGGAGCCAATCGACTGAAACGACAGGCTCATTTGCTGACAGGGATTGAACGGAGAACGAATCTTGCGATGCAACTGCTGAAGATGACATGTTGCACGAAACGGATCCCGGATTTTTACTCACCAAATGAGAGGAAACGGGCCATGGTCGAAACGGGATTTTCTGCACCGACAAAAAGTAAAATAAACACGAATGTGAAACGGAATTCGGACAAAACGAGAAGTTATGTTCCTGTATAAATTAAAGCTGCAGAACAATGGCGCCTCTATATTAAACGATTTGATGAGTCGATTTAACGAAACAAAATCCTAAACTATAATTCAGTATTTAAAACCAAACTACTAATCAATCTGGGAGAGCAATAATAATAACAATAAATAAATAATTAATTAAAAAGGTGAGCGATTAATTATTGAATTATAAACATCTGAAATCAAATGCAAGAGCGAAAGAAAAAAAAAAGGGGAGCTTACACCGAAGACTGAAGAAAAGAATCGAGATTGTTGAAATAGCAACGAAGATGAAGATGGCGACAAAAACTGAAGACTGCGTCGGGCAAAGAGGACTCTCGATAAAACGCCGGACGCCATTGGAGAAATCAAAGCCCCAAAACAGAAATTTCTACAATTGGAGAAATAGGGCTTTTTTTTGGGGATTATCTTGTTTCGAATTTTGAAAATTCAAGAACGGATTGAAGAGTGGCCGCTGCAATTAGCGGCAAGGCAACTGGGAATTTGTCAGTGGAAGTGATAATTTTCGGAGTTTTTGAGGTTTTGTCGAAATGGGAAAGAGAGAAAGGGGGTAGCGGCTTATCGGAAATGATTAAGCCGATTTTTTCATTTGTCTTTATTCGTTAATTAATTATACTTAATTATTTTATTTAGATTATAATTTTTTTTATTAGGTTAATTAATTAATTTACTTTGGGTAAGATAGTAGTAGTATAAACACACTCTTTGGAAATTGGAATCAAAATCGGAAATTTGTCAAATTTTCAGAAAATCCGTTCTTCTTCAACAAAAACCCCCACCGCAAAACCCATTTCCCCGGCCATCTGAACTGCAACTCCGGTGACATTCGCTTCGCCGGAATCGATTAAGGTGCGTATAGTTTTCTCCGACGACGACCTAAGTTTTTTTGTTTTTTGTTTTTCCTCGCATAGGTTAGTTACTGTGTACATTTTTCCCATCGTTTTGAAATTAAAGAATAATTATTTAGCCAGTGAGAAAACAGGCGAAGGTGAGAGGTTCTCAATTTTGCTGAAAATCGATGTGTTCTGGTTAGTTATACACCTTGCTGAGGAGGTGTTCGACAAAATGTTTCAGTGAACTTTGTAACTGTAAACTTTTGTTTCCTCCAAAACCCACATTGATTTGAGATGTTTTCCGTGTTTCTTTTTGCCTTCTATAGTTTGATTAAGCAAGAAAACAAAAGATGATTCATCACTTTTACTAAGTTATAGTGAAGTCGTATCGTTTCTCGGCAAAGTGGGATATTTTTTGTCAAGTTGATAATAAGTTTCAGTTACAAGCTTGATTCTTTATTTGTTTCGTCCAAAACTCTATTTGATTGAGATGTTTTTCGTGTTTCGTTTTGCCTTCTAGTTTGATTAAGTAAGAAAACAAAAGACGATTCATTACTTGTACTAAGTTATAGTGAAATGGTATCGTTGCTCGACAAAGTGGTATTGTTTGTCAAGTTGATAATAAGTTTCAGTTATAAGCTTGATTCTTTATATTGGGCTATCTTACTTTATTAACTATGATACTCTATGATTAGTTTATACACTCTAAATCAGAGGAACGGGACGAAGCATTTTAATGTCAAAAAAATACATTAAAAATTGCGTTAAACCTATTATTACCTATTGAACTGTTATAGTGAAACTTTATTTCTTTTGACAGAATCGACATTTTTCCACGACAAAAAAAGGTTTTGATAAGAAGGCAAAGTATTTGAAGGAGAAAAAAAGACCATGTCTTTGAGGCAAATGCTTGGATTCTCCGATGGAGAGTTGATGCGGTCAGATGCAAAACCGTGTACGAGATTGATGAGGCAAACTGCTGGCATTTTTTCAGTGGGAGGTGGATTAGGGTTTTGGGTTCTCTGCCGCTTGCATTATGGTATGTTTTCTATACGGCTCCCACATTTTCGAACTTTCTTTTTTATCAAGTCTTTGTTTCTATTTGATGTGAAGATAGCCGTGTTCTTCTTGTTCTATTTGCTCTTTTTTGTGGAAATTTATCTGCATCGAAGTTTGCAAATAAATGAGAAGAGTTCAATATGGGATATTCTTGAAAGTTCAGTCGGCTAAACGTGTAAGATTCCAAGAATATACCAATCTTATACTGAATCGAAAATGCAAAACAAATTTTGATTTAGAGAAAGGGAGTTCGGGGTTGGGGAGAGTATATGCCGTCTCCCCCTTTCTCGTCTATCCATGTTTCTGAGTGAGTTGCCTTTAATATTAAATATTTCGGAGTTTTTATTGCTTTTGAATAATGTAGTTTCTATCGGTATTCTTGATGGAGCTTAAAACTTAATATCTCAATTCGCATTTGCTGAAGGCTAATTCTTCTCATCTTTTTTTTTTTCTAAATGGGAACATGTAATTGAAGCTGCAATTGAATTGAATTATACTCTATTTATTCGTCACACGTCGAGCTCAATCATTTACAAAATAAGTTGATGAATATATATATATATATATATATATTAATAATCTGGTATTGATGCAGGTACTAGAATCACAGTTCCTCGAAGTCTAAGGTGGGCTGCTTGTGGGGCCGTCTCTACGAGCGCAACCACAGCGTTGTTGGTTCGTTTATTCAGTCCCGAATGTGAACCCCAAAACATAGCTGCGTATGATCACAAGAAGTAATTAATTCTTGGTTAGCATCCACATCTTTTGGCATGCCCTATGAAAACTCGAGCTTTTGTTTTTGATTGATTTTCGAAACTATGGAATTAGAGAATTCATGAAATCAAATGTAATTTGTTAATCTGGGTTTATAAACACAATAATGTCATGTATGGGATTACCAGTTAATAATCACCGGGTGTTGCATCACACAAACCTAATTTTAGGCTATGTTTCATAGGGTCTATGAGATGCTACACCGCGTTAAATACAGTGAGTGATTTTAAAAACGTAGATCTATGGTTTAAAATCACCCGACGTATTTCACCGGGTGTAGAATCTACAAAACCGTTTTTGATAATGTTGAATGATGAGTTTATATTTACCAACCCTCATTAGGAGAGTTGGTACCTAGCCTTTACCAATAGGGTAACGGTCTAGGGTTCGAGTTTCCCCCTCCCCTACTTCCCCTTGTAATGGACTTGAATTTCCTAAAAAAAATAAAAAAATGATGAGTTTATATTTGAATAAATAGCGGAGTTTGAATGTTGGATGACAAACAATATTACTCCCTCCCATTTTATTTTTCGTTTTTGAGAATTAATATTACTTCAAATTATGAAAGAAAAAAAAAATCTTCTCGACAACTACACTCGAACAAAAACAAAACACATAATAAATATATAGTAATATTTTCTATATATTTTTTTCTTTACATATTTGGAGTGTTTTAATTTTTGTATTTATCAAAATCCATAAAATCAATTGTTTTAATAAACACAAACCGAAAAAATTATTATTTAAAAAGAAAAAAGATAGAAGGCCTTTTAAATGAATCTAACGGGCCGGGCCTTCGGGCTTTCCCAGATCCAATATAATTTGTATATTGGGCCTGCAAAAATTGTTAAAATTTCAGAAATACGTTCTTCTTCAACAAGAAACCCCCCATTGCAAAAACCTCTTTCCTCGGCCATTTCTTCTGCAACTCCGACAACATTTGCGTCGCGGCAAATCGATTAAGGTACGTTTAATCTTTTCCGACGACCTCTAATTAACTCATTGCGTACAAATTATACCAAGCGATGCATCTTTTTTTCCTTTTTCTTTCTTCGAAATTGCATTTGTTTTCTGATTCTTAACCTATTTTTCTGGTTAATTTATCCCGTAGATCATGTGTTATTTTTTGATCCAAGACTCATTTCTTTGTTTATGATAAGAAATGGAGCTGTATATGTAATTGATTGCAGTTTAATTTGAAATGGTGGAATTCGCCCCTTCGTTAGGGTTACTATTAATTTCAGATTTTACCATAAGTATGTGGATTAATTAATTAATTAATTTTCTTGAATGCTTTTTGTCAGTTCATTGTTCAAGATTATTAAAGTTTGAGCAGGAAATTAGATGGGTGACAGTCAGTACTCTTTCTCACTCACTACCTTCAGGTATGTATAAAATAGGCTGCATATCTTTTTTCTCCGATTTAATTTGATTATCGAAAAATATGGAATGGTAATTTGGTAATTTTGTGAATCCTGCAGCCCTTCTGGCAAGCTTGTTCAAATTGAACACGCTTTAACCGCTGTTGGATCTGGTCAAACATCTTTAGGAATTAAAGGTAAATTTATGTTTTTATCACTATATCAATTTCATTTAGTCTGAATGAAACAGTCTTGACAATGAATCGGCTGGTCGGTAGAATTTTGATGTACTAAATCAGACACTACAATACTCGTGGAATTTTAAGTGAAATGAAATAGTAGATATATGTATGCACGCGCACACACACATATGTATGTATTATGTATACTGATTAAACTTATGTGATGTGGTTACAGCTGCTAATGGTGTTGTTATTGCAACTGAGAAGAAGTTGCCATCAATTTTGGTCGACGAGACTTCTGTAAGTACATTTTTGGTCTGTCTTCAAGTTTCAGTGTCGCAATTCGTCTTTGTTGTGTTTTCTTACATTCAGAACAGTTGACTTATAAATTATGTCGTCATTGGTCTCTGACCACTTATTCTTGGCCTCTATTTAGTGACTGTTTTATAATGTCGAAGGCTAGCAAATTTCGATGATGTTTGCTGATGTTAGTGTTTATTTTCAATTTGTCTAATTAAGGAAGCCTTTCGTTTATTGTCAATGTTGTAGATTTTTGTCTCTATCTTCCAAAGCATGTCGTATTTTTCAAACCTCGTGGATTTTTTTAGATTTCTACTGAATAATGTTTCTACCCATGTGTTTCTTTCTTCTGTTCATTCATCTTCTCATTTTAACGATTGAGGTAATTATTTCGATTGTGGTGCTTGGCTTATGATGGTTCGTTCACCACTTGCAGGTCCAAAAGATTCAGAGTTTGACCCCAAATATTGGAGTTGTATACAGGTTTATATATATCTCTATTCATATTCATCTAAATACGATTATGCCCTTGCTATATTTCGCTGAACTCGTTACATCCTTTGCCGTCCTTTGTTAATTTCAATTTAAACTTGGTTACATCTATTTATCGTCTTAAGTTATTTATTGTTATTATTTTTTTAAAAAGTTGGCCTCACAAATGGTCTACAACCGAACCCAAAGAGAATTGAACCCTTGACCTATTAGATTTTACCTGCTTTAGCCTTTTTTTATGTATTATGTCGAGAGTTATATTTGCTTAAGATTTTCTGATATTTTGACAACCGTTTTTATTTCTTTTCGTGCAGTGGTATGGGACCCGATTCTCGAGTTTTGGTGCGAAAAAGTAGGAAGCAGGCTGAGCAATATTACCGACTGTACAAAGTATTTATTGCTCTGCACCCCCAACAACTTTTTTCCAATTGAAATCCATGCTTATACATATTTACTACGGTGCAATTTTTTTTAATTCATCTGCACCACGAATACTCGCTTTTCTGATAGTAATCCATACACTTTTGTTACTAAGGTTGTGTATTAATTATTAAAAAAAACAGAGGGTTAGCATATTTACCCTTGTTCTATTGAATATATACATCTTTTTCCTATTTTGTGGAATTCCTCCTTCTCTAGGCTGCATAATAGCACAGTGTTCAAATTTCTTGATTTTAATTGGTGTTGAAGCTATGCTAACTTCAATTTATATGCCGTGCAAAATTGAAGGAACCAATTCCAGTTACTCAATTGGTGAGGGAAACTGCCACTGTTATGCAGGAATTCACTCAGTCAGGGTACGTACTACTTCTCACTATATAATTTGATGTACGCCGCTAATGGTAATAGTTTTTATATCATAAAATGTTTGGCTTTTTTGATAGTGGTGTGAGGCCATTTGGAGTGTCGCTATTGGTCGCTGGATTTGATGACAAGGGTCCACAGCTATATCAGGTATGCCCATCGTATCCTGTTTTGGCTTTGCTCTTGCATTTTACGATGCTCGTTTACTACTTAGAGACTATCCATTGTTTCAATCGACTATGCCTAATCACATGAATTCGTTAATGGGCATTTACTTTATTCTTGGTGGATTACTTCACTTTCACTTTTACCTTTGTAGTTGAATTTTATTATTTTCACCTTTCACAAAAATCATTTCACTTTTTCCTTTCTCGTTTTCTTTCTTCCTTAATTATTTTCTCGATAAATGATATATGTTGCTCTGTTGTTGTTGCTTATTCTTCTTATTAATATAGCTGATATGATATTATATTTTTTTATATGCACTTGTGATACTCGTTACCATTGTTCATTTACCTCAATAGAATGTTTCACTTTAGAAGACGACCTCTCTAGGATTGATAATTTCGTAGCTAAATTGGCCTATGACCAGATTTATATTCTGTCGGTAAATATCTAAGATGTTACTTCATTTTGGTCTAGGTTGATCCTTCTGGTTCATACTTCTCTTGGAAAGCTTCAGCCATGGGAAAGAATGTCTCCAATGCAAAGACATTTCTGGAAAAGAGGTACGGTTTTTTTTTTTTTTTTTTTTTTCCCGTTTTGTTTGTGGATTTCAACTGCTTTGTGTGTTCTCGGAGATTTGTTGTATGTGATGTACCGAATGAATTAAAGTCTCACTTATGTTATGGTAACTAAGTTTGGAACCTTGATACGAGAAATAGGTCAAGTACACTGGATATTTATTCTTTTATTAATTATATATTGGAAATTTCGCAGGTACACTGAAGATATGGAACTTGATGATGCTGTACATACAGCCATTTTGACACTGAAGGAGGGGTAATCACTCACCTTAATTTTCGAGTGTTTTTATTTGCTGAAAATATTATATTTAATTGGTTCGCATATGCCGTTCTTCTTCTTGGTGGATTATATATGAACTTGCGTAATTCTTAGTAATTAACTTTTTCTTTTTCGTTTTTCAGATTTGAAGGGCAAATCTCAGGAAAAAATATTGAGATTGGGGTGATTGGCAATGACAAAATATTCAGGTTAAATCTTATTCCAATTGTTAAGCAGATTAAATTGCAAATACACCCCCCTGTGTAATCGGAATATGCTAAAAATTCCCCTGTTAAATAAAATGTACAAAATGCTCCCCCCCACAGTAGAGGTGTTTTATATAACAAAAGAAACCCCATTTGTAAGGTGAAAAAGGGCCGAGTGTGTTATATAAACGAGATTTATATAACACATTCCGATTACATTTTATCTTGTATTTGCTTTGCACTCTACACTCTTTTGACGTATCGTATTGTTCATATGTGTGTTATGCATGCAGGGTTTTGACCGCTTCTGAAGTGGAGGATTACTTGCAGGAAGTCGAATAGTTTATTTATTTATTCCACCTTAAAACTTTTATTTGCAGAATCGAGTGGTGGACTTTGTTTGTATAACTTGTTCTGATCTTTTGTCTAATTTTGTACTCTCGTCTTGAAACTCTTTTTTCATTGTCTGAATTTTGTGCGTTCATTCTAAATTTGCCCAAGTCTAAATGGATTGTTAGCGTATATGTGACGGATGCCAGTTTTTCAGCTTCACTCGTTTGCTTTGTAACTGTGATGAATTTATAAACTGTAATATGATTTGTAATTCATCTTTTAAACTGCGTCCTTATGTGGTAGTGTAGTACACAAGTAAAAATTTTGAAACAACTTTTAAGGGGCACTCGTGTTTTCAACTAATCTACTATTTTGTAATTTTATCGAAAAGGAAAAATATATTGGGTTCATCATTATTTTTATGCAAAGGCATTTAAGTAAAATTGAAAGGTTGAACTTAAATGTTACTATTATTCGTTGACAAATGGATCAAATATATTCATACTAAATTCTCTAACAAGAAGCTTTCATAGCTCAGTTGGTTAGAGCACCCGTTTAGTAAGCGGAGGTCTGAGTTCAACTCTCAATGAAAGCACACAACTATTATTTCATTTTTTTATTACACTTCTGAAAAAAATATTAAACCAAATAAAGCCCATTCACTGCAAAATGATCCGAATATTCCGATTTTTTTTTGAATATTACACTTAAAATACCAATATTATTGGGTATTCTATATTTTAGGTGACAAAAAATAGAAACTTCAAAAATGTGCTGATTCCAGCCTAAAATTTCCAATTTTGGAATAATTTTTTCATTCCAATTTCCAAAATTTCGATTTTATTTTTTTCCGATTTTCTTAGGAACGGAATTAGATCTTGTTTTTCACTTCCGAAAAAAAATGATTTTTTTTTCCAAAAAGGCTTAATTCCGATCCGATCCGTCTGATTTACACCTCTAATAAGAATAGATTGGTACCATTTTTTTCTTGTTTTTTTACTAAAAATAACATAACCATATTACCTGTACAAAAACAACCTAATCCTAAAACCTCAAAATTCTAACACAACACAATCACTAAACCCTCCATCTCTTTCCACGGAACAAATTATTTGTAAGTTTGCGACGTAAAAACCTCCGCGCACAATTTCTTATAAACAATCTCCACAGCATTAAAATCGACATCAAACCCATAACTCTGCCCACCATACAACACATAAAGATACTCTTTACTCGAACTCGGTACAGGCAAAACTTCCCCAATCTCCGGAAACTCATCCGACGGTGGACAAGGAATATTCCCTTTCCTCGAATAATAAACATCCGCCAAAAGAAGCCACACGAGATCGGGGTCCACGCTCGCAAGTCCCACTAGGGCATTTTCACAAGCACCTTGTAGGCCCTTCACACCGCTGCACGCGATGCCAACCACAACGCCGCTGATTTTCTTGAAAACGGGGTCCAACGACGGAGCGCTCCTCTTGTTCTTGGATAAATCGGAAATCATTTCGAGTATCGCGATTTGGAGTTTTAGGTTTGAGATTTCCGAAGGGTTTGACGAAGAATCTTCCGTCCAGCTTTTTCTGTACGGGAGTTGCAGAGGCATTCTTTCTTCTTTGGAGAAGGGTTTCTTCTTTTGGAACGGTGATGTGCTTAGAAGCTTCCAGAAGTGGGCCCCGTCGGAGTGAAAGCGGCGCGAGAAGAAATCCCCGCCGCAGATTTGGACCACGGTAGTTATGGTGCGGCAGCATTTTTTGATTGCCTGGGACAAAAAAAGTTTTAAAGGTAAAATCAATACAAGATTTCTAGTAAATTATTCATGTGTTATTTGAGAGTTTAATTGATTATATTATTTAATCTTAGGAACCAAACAAGGCCTAAATACATTAATTATGACATGATCACATTTTACCTAATTAGCCACAATGAGGGGTATAATAGGTATTAAAAAAGCTAATAAACATAAAAAGTGTAGAGAGAGAAAGACGACTCACCACAAGATTCTTACTCCGAAAACAAGAAACCAAGAAAGGCCAAATTTTATTCACTGCAGGGAGCAATCTATTCTCTATGGTCTCATCCTCGTCGGCACCGAGAGTATCTAGAAGATTGTAAAACGAACACGACTCGATTATTTCTCGTAATGCTTCTTTCGTTTCACTCTCGTGCTTGTATGCTTCTTCCACTTTCGAAAGTACAATAATACCATCCTAAAATTTCCAAAAAAAAAAACAGATAGAAAATAAAATATTGTGGTTTCTATAATAAAAATGCCACTTGACAAATTTTGTACCTCGATTACATCCAATGCTGTCAAGCAAGAAGCGGGGTCCGCCGAAGCAATTAACGGAGTTACAGAAACTAGACACGACCCCGCTATAGATCCGACTATTCTTCGGTATCTTTTGGAATCATTGAACTTGAATATAATAGATTCCAATTCCTCCTCCGGCACATTAGCGTCATTCATGCGAATTCCTTTTAAAAAAAAACAAAGATTACTCGAGAAGTTTTAATAATATTAAAAAAGGAGTAAATTACACACAGCCACTCGGGTTTTGTATAATTTTCCTATCCGATGGGGCCTAGTTGTAATTACACCCAACTTGAGTGGAGGTAAGTGTAATTTAACCTTAGATATTTAACAAGCCTAAAATAATTCCCGAAGTACTTACCGGAGTTCAATTCCGACATTTTTGCATTCATATCTTTTTTGTACGATTCTGCTTGATTTGGTAACTTGTCAGCCTCGTGTTTTGAGGCTTTGGCTATTTCCGCAACTGCCTAAACAAAGAAAGAAAACAATAAAAAAACGAGAGTGATTTAGTGATATACTATAACATTTTTTTTTCAAGTCGTTTCCAATACAAATATAAATTATTAAACGAACCTTCAAAAAGGGAAGAGTTAAATTCGGGTGATGATGCCTCCCGAGAATTTCGAGCTCCATAGAAACTGCATGCATCTGTAACAATTCTACCGCATCAGGTTTTGAAGAAGTTGCATATAAAATAAAATAAAATAAAAAATTACTAAAAAGAATTTAAAATTTATACCGGCTCCTCCAATAACGGCAATATTTTATCAGCTACTCCAACGAAAGAAAGCATGGCAGAAAGTACATTAGGCACGTGTGGATTGAGATCTAAGTGGCGCAGTTGCCTACAAATTGAATCGATTACATAATCCGAATTTGCTAATACCAAGTGTCCCACCTAAAATATTTAAAAATAAATAAATATTAGCTTTTATTCAGAAATAAATATTAATACGAGAGAACTGAGCCACAAAACACTCACAGTTGGGCAATTTTGTGTAGCAGAGATAACGTGTAAGACAGAATCGGATGCCCTTCTGACTTCGAAATTCGAGCATATAATATTTTCGAGCAACATATAAAGTGAAGAGTGAAGAAATCCACTCGATGAAAATTCTTCGCCGAGGCAGATATTGAAAATGCCTATCCCTTCAATAATAACCTGTTAACGAAAAAAATTTATATATATATATATATATATATAAAAAAAAAAAAAAAAAAAAAAAAAAAGAAGCAATCAAAACATTCATTAGAGTAAGATATTATTAAGGAATTTATTGCAATTAATATCCCTGTGTTAAATTGAATTGTTTAAAAAAAATCCCTATGACGCAATTTTTTGGGGGTCAGTTTGCTTAAGAAAAATTCAATAAGGGGTTTTTTGCTAAAGTTAATAATATGAGGACTTTTTTGACAATTACAGTAAACAAAAAGGTGCTGAAGGTAATTAACACAAACCTGGTGAAGCATTCCATTATCGTTAAAAACATGCAAATTTATGTCTCCATCTTCTCCAAATTGTTCGAGAGAATCCGAGAATCCAAGCGGAATATTCCATATTTCGGGGGATAAGTATTCATGCAAGATACTACCGATGCAATCGATCAAATGGATTCGAGCATTTTTGTTCCCGTTACTATTTACGTAAATGCCCTTGTTCCGGAACATTCCATTAAAGGAGGTACTAGCTTGATCTGAAAGCCCATAAATCATCTCGTTCAAAATGCACGAAGCGGTACTGGCCCGCCTCACCAAATGGGCCGACCCCGTTCTCTTGTACCACGACTGCCAGCTGTCGTTACGGTGCTCTCTTGTTCGTAACTCGGATGTTAAATTACGAAAATGCCCCAGGAGAATATCGATTAGGACACAATAAGATCCCTCATTTCTAGAATCTAGGAACAGAAAACAAGACAATTTTACGTTAGGGTTTATTGCATTTAGCACCCCTGTGTTTACTCTAATTGTCCAAAAATTCATTGTGTTATAAATATTAGCAAAGAAACCCCTATGATTCAATTTTATAAGCAATACCCACGAATAACGCACAATTTAGAGGGTAGCGTGCTAAAAAAATTGTATCAACAGGGTTTTTTTGGTAATATCTATAAGAGAAGGAGTTTATTAGCAATTTGATATAACAATTATTAAAGAAGAGAAGTTATTTAGAAAACTAACCTGTGAAAATGTATAGACTAACTAATCGAAGAATTCCAGAAAGAGCTTGATATAGCTTTCGACTACCCACATGAACAAACCAAGGTGGCATGTTAGGTAACTCGTATTCGTTCTTTACGTGTTCATATGGGCGAGATTTATTCCGATTTTGAGACCCTAAAAATTCGGATTTTTCTTCGTGAGCAATGGTAGTGATAGCCTTGATTTCGGATATCGAATGCATGAATCCTGATTTCGATGGACTTTTTGCTGCAAGCTGGTTGAGTGGGCCCGCAAAAACCGAGTTCTGACTTAAACAGAGGGCAAAAACGTCCAAGAAACGAGCAGCTGCCACCTAGAAGACATTGATACTGACATTTAATTTATCTAAGAGAGTACGGCACAATTAACGGATTAGAAAACACGGTTATCTTACGTAAAAAAGTTTGAATTGTATTTTAGTTTTTTTTTTAGTGAAAAAATACATACGGGAGAGACAAGAAGGTAGTCTGCAACAAGGCGGGGACCACCATAATATGTAACCGCAAGTAACTTTCGAGCGTGTGACAGTGCAAGCGACTCCTCATCAGCCATTACCACTCGAGGAAGCTTTTCTACTAACCTGTAAATTACAACTTTACGACAGAGAGAAACATCAAGGGCTATTCACTAGAAGGCATAAAATAACAAGAAAAGTCAACATATTACAGAGAGAGACACAATAAGGTTGACCTGCTAAAAACCTCGGACATGTCTTGTTCGATTTGATTCTTTCCGGAAGAAACCAGAATCTCCGTAAATGTCTGTGCTTCTGAAGAAACATCTTCTGAATCATCACATACCAAAACGAACAAGCATTCCTGTTGAAATAACATAAATTTAAGAACAACAAACTTGCGGTTAAAGCAACTGAAACATGATGGGTTATTTGCATTAAAGACCCCTGTGTTTTCTCTAATTGCTAAAAAACTCCATCTTTTATATTAGTAGCAAAAAAAAAACCTATGATTCATTTTTTTATAGCAAAACTGCCCCTCAAGAACTCACTATTTACGGTGGTTGTATGCTAAAGAAAAGCACTATAAAGGGGTATTTTTGCTAATATTAATAAAGCAGGGAGTTTTTCAGCAATTCGATATAACGCAGAGGTACTAAATGCAATAAACTCGATATAGAAACTACAAATACCAACTCACCAAAAGCATCAATCTGCTATCTCTCAATGTGTAGCTGCATTTACGTAAAAGCCCTCGTATAGAAGCCAAAACCCCGAGCCTCACTTTTCTATTCGGATGAACACAAAGCTGCAAAAACGTGTGAAAAAAAAAACGAATAAAATTTCGAACGAACAAAAAGTAGTTTGAAAACTATGACCAAAGAGAGAATCGCATAGGAAAAAACTTACATGTGGAAAAGTCGAAGATAATAATTTATTAACATGAGAAGTAGTTTCGGCCAACCATTTTTCCGTACGTTTAACACGTAGTGAACCAATTTTACAGTCGGAATCTCCGACAGAAATCATGGTACCTCTGTCAACAGATTCTGTAATAACTTCACTTTGCACGGCATTTTTAACAGGTAGTTGACGAAGTTCTTCAAGATACGATGAAAGAGGCTTCGTTTTATTTGAATCGAGGGCAAAAACGTCATTTTCAGGGGCATGAAGAATAGATGAAGTGGAATTGTCATCGAGAACTATCATAAGATATTCAGACAACCCTCTAACTGCCTGGTTTAATGATTCTGTACTTGCAGCGGCCCCACTAATCATTGTTCTTGATGTGTGCAATATTTTTCCCGTTTGGCTGACAAAGCCTGGTAAATAAAAAGCCAATGCGTCTGCAGTACCAACCTGCAGGTTTTTACATAAAATTACGAAATAAATCACGCGGCCCCAATTGCACGTAGTATATATGCATAACGATGCATATATTCAATTAATTACACAATTTGCAACTACGTATCCAATAAGCCATTGTAGAAGGTAATTCGAGCAAACAAACGATTTTATTTCCGAAAATTAATTAATTACAAAATTTGGAATACATATTCGATTCCGATTTTCCATCCGATCTCCATAAATTACACTTACAATATCAACATTATTATGTATTTTATATTATAGATGACTAATAAAGTGGAAATTCTGACCCGTCGATTTTCGATCGAATAGTTCCAATTTTGGAACAAGTTTTTTTCATTCCAATTCCCAAAATTCTGAAATTTTCTTTAACTAAATTGAAATTAGTCTTTTACTTCCAAAAAAATCTGATTTTTTTTCGGAAAGTGCCAATTCCGATACGACTCTTCAGATTTCCAAGTAACTTTCACAAATAACTTAAGTTTCTCCCATATATTAAAAAAAATAATAATAATCGGAATTACCTTTGCAACAAGCACTCGAAGTGTCATCAAAGCTTCAACACGAAGCCTCGAACTGCCACGGTGACCTCGTGCAACCTCAATATCTGCAGCCTTCAAATATATTATCAAATTAGACATTCAAAATAAACTTCTAGAACACAAATTTCTCGACAAAAAATAAATAAATAATAAGTCAACAAATACATGCCTTGAGCAAAAGCGAGAGCCAGTGTCCAATCGCAGCAGAAGCAATTTCCGACTGAAGAAACGCTAACAAACACTCTTCCGTGACCGATATTGAATTATTAAAAACGGGAAACTGCAACTCCTTAAAAACAGGAAAATCATCAATTTGTTTGCATGGACAAGATTCGTCAGAACATGTACGTAAATTAAGAAGCAGTGCCCTAAAACACTTTATCACTCCATCACGGAACTCTTCGGAAGCTTCCGCTGGAGAAAGCATTGCTCCGTAGGCCAATTTCTTTAGTATAACAACCATCTGCGAAAAAAAAAAAAAAAAAAAATTTACGGTAAAGCAACTTTATAAAAATAAAACGGCAAATTGTAGCTTCGATTACCTGATCAACGGACAATAAACGGCACTTCTTAAGGACTTCTTCCAAACAAAGAACAACACACTCCGCCACAGTGTCGCTCACTTTGTGTGATGTCACTAAGGCATCGAACTCGAGAGAGTTGTTGTTTTTGGAGTTTAATTTTGTCGTGGATCGAGAATTTACAGCTGCGTCGAATAGAAGCAGTAACGGAAACAAAGTGTAGCTGAACAAAAAAATTAAGCAATGTGAAAGTTAATACTTTTTCGAAAATAAAAAAATCTTGAGACAATAGTACGATTTGAATCGATCAATTTTTTTTCCCACAACCGATACGTAATAGTTTTCGATTTCGTATTTAAATATGAAGTGAAGGGAACAGATTAACAACCCTTCGGATTTTCTTCGAATACCATTTGTCTGAGATCAAACCACAATACCTAGTTCATGACACACACACACACACACACACACACACACACACACACACACACACACACACACACATATGTAATGTATCTATAATCCTGTTTGTGATTCTCAAGATTCAACTTCACACCCACCGTTTCACACTTTCAATTATCTTAATATCCGAATTTAATACAACAGCAATCACACTAAATTATAACAAAAACCCTCCACTAAAATTTAAATTAAATAAAACCCCAAATTGCAAAATTGAAAATTGAGACGGCGGTGGAGGAGAAAAGGAGAGGCGTACTCAAAGAATGGCTGGAGGGAGTGCGACGGAGATCGGCGGAGAAGATGAAGCAGTTGGGGAAGAAAGGAATTATCTTTCTCGGAATTTTGAAGGAGTTCCAACAACTGCATACAGTGTTCTTTCAGTTCAACAAAAACGACGCCGTTTTGAATATCTTCTTCTTCTTTTTCTGCTTCATCTCCGGCGCCGTTTGATTTTCCGTTGAGTTCTTCTTCCATTGCAAAAATCAGTAAAGGGAGAAGAAAAATTGGGGAAAAAACATTTTTACGAACTTCGGAGATATTAATGATTTTTCCTTTTTTTTTTTTTTTTTTTTTATTATTTATTTTCTGGTTTGGATTTTGGAAGTTGGGCTAATTAATTGGGCCCAATATGGTGCTTTTATTTAACACACAAAGGGAGAAATTGCACTTCACTCCCTAGATGTTTCAAATATTCGCACTTTCCCCCCTAGAAGTTCTAAAATGAGGCATCCCATCCACAGAATATGTTTATGTTGCACTTTGCCCCAGAGTCAAACTTTCGGGGTACTTTTGATCGCAATTGACAAAGTTTCATTCACTCTGAGGGTATTGTCGTCATACATTTACAAATTTACTAATAAAATTATTGAAATCAAGTTTTTATGTCAAATATGCATATGTTTCAATGAGTGATATAATTAATCTTTCTTATTCGTAAAAGGTGTGTAATCAGCAGTATTTTGTAAGTAACCCCAAGCATTCATAAAATTACTTTAAATAGTTCGATATATATGTCAATTGTCATCTCACTTTTTTTCGGTTAATGGGAATTCGGAGATTTCGGGGGAAAAGGATAACAATGAAGAGGAAAACAAATTAACTAAATATACAGTCATTTTTTTTTTATAACTAGGGGTCCCGAAAATAAATATACTTAAATGTAAATTAAATAAATATGAGTGTATGTCTCTACACTCGCACGCGCACATGAGCTGGGACACCCACAAACACGATAGCTCGCGCCCATTTTTTTTGAGTCGCGCTCCCTCACTTGTGAGCGCGGCCGAGTGTGTGCATATTTATATATATATATATATATATATATATATATATATATATATATATATATATATATATATATATATATATATATATATATATATATATATATATATATATATATATATATATATATATATATATATATATATATATATATATATATATATATATATATTGTCCTTTTTTTATTTCAGGTCTCAAGATTTTCGAAAAGAGTTAGAGGACATTTATAATTGCTTCTAGTTATTTTATTTTATGATTTTTTTTTTCATTTTGGACTCGGATGCATTCTTTGGTATGATTAATTAAGGATTAAATATTTGCAACATTAAGCTTTATTTGTTTTAATGAACAGACTATGATTTTTTATTTATTTTTAAGCTTATTTTGATTTTCAATGAGTAGTCTATATTTTCCGCTTAGACTGCGAAGTTTTTATTTTTTTGTTTTTCTTTAACATGTCGACTGCAAAGTTGGAAAATATGGAATTTGTTTATTGCCCGATATAAACCCGAAGCCCGAAAAAATACGTGAGCCGAGTTTAAGCCAATAGGCATGAGGCCCAATAGTATTTGAGCTTGAGCCTATAGTAATGAGGCCCGATGGTATATGAGTTTAAGCCGATCCAGGCTCGACTCACACGGCCAGATTGCCAGCCCTACTATACACTAATTGATTTATTTAATGATGATTAGAGATGGTAATGTTTGATTTTATTTAGTAACGCATATACCTGACAACTGTAATATCATCTACCACAAAATTTGTACTTTTCATTCCTCCAAAATTAAAATTGTGGGGCCCACACATATTAGACTTAATTTGCATGTAATTAAATTTTTTTAAAAAAAAAAAAAAAAAAAAAAAAAAAGAAAGGATCTGTCCATCTGCATGCATTTGAACTGTTTTAATTCACAAGTAAGAAAAATACCTAACAAAATATAGTCAATATAGAAAGTTCTTGGCCAAATTTGACACGCTTTCTTGATTAATAATATTATATATATATATATATATATATATATATATAATAACCCGGATTTAATTAATATATATTGGCTTTTTAGATGGCAACAAGATTCCGAGGTGAAGAAGGGCAAATGCGTAAATAATCCATTAATCCAGGACTAATTCCTGTCTCCATGATGCATCTCCTCGTACTGTTGTTGAGTTGTTAAGACAATATTGTTGTGTTCCTTTGGCAATATGTCCACGTCACTTGTTAGCCCAAGTTCATTTTCCAACAACCTAATCCAATTCCCGCCATCGGTTCCGATGTCGGCATTTGAAGGGTCGGAATCGCGATTCCCACGTCCTCCGTTGTCCAATTCATCCAGAGAATCAAACAACTCCCACAAGTCAACATCGGAATATTCCAAGGGGATCTCGATTTTCCCATTCGAATAATTATGTTCCAACGCCTCGTTTGCCTTAGTATTACCCTCGTTGGAATTGGAGAAACCGGACGACGATGCGTAAGAAGATGTTGGTGGAGAATGACCCGAAACCGATTTTACGTTTAGAAACTCGGGTTTTTCGTAATTAGCGTCGGAATCTAATTGAACCCCTTGATCAAGAAGTTGTCCAACATTAATATTAACATGTGGTGCAATATTTTCCTTGGTCACTCTTTTCTTCAAGTGAATGTTCCAAACATTTTTTATCTCGTTATCGGTTCTTCCCGGAAAACGTGATGCAATTTTCGACCACCTGCGAAAATTGGACAACATTACATTATTAAAAAATAAAACATACACACAAACACACACATCCAAGTTGGTGTGTCGTCAAATGAACAGTGCTTATATATATATATATATATATATATATATATATATATATATA